GTTCCGTGTTCTAGTTTCTGATTCAACATGCATTTATTTTTCCTATTCAAGCTTGTTCGCTAAACTTTCCAGTGACTCCATTTTTCTCCTTAAAAAGTTTTAAGTCAATTGTTAAATCTGGAATTACCATGACAAAAGTATTTCTCTGTAAATGTAATCAGGTCCTTGTGAAGTAATACTGAAATCACTAATAGTAGTTTGGTTATTATTTCTTTTTTCTCCTTCAGCTTTGTGTATGGAATCCTGATGGATGGGAAAAGCAGAAGTCCAGATTCTTGCAGCTTCCAACTGGGAGAACAACAGCTTCACAGTCAGACACACGTGTACAGTTTCATCAGGACCAGATGCACTTCTTGGTTGTGCATGAGACTCAACTTGGCATATATGAAACTACAAAACTAGAATGTGTAAAGCAGGTACATTTGTCTCTAGGTGCATGTCATGGAGATTTATGAGTGTCCTTCCGAGTATTTTTTAAATTTAAATTCCTTTTCCTCTTGCTTGTTTAGTGGGTCCCACGTGATTCTGCTGCACCAATTTCCCATGCAACATTCTCATGCGACAGCCAGCTTGTATATGCCAGCTTTTTAGATGCAACCGTGTGTGTGTTTAGTGCTGCAAATCTCAGACTACGATGTCGTATTAATCCTTCTGTTTATCTTCCTGCTAATGTCAGGTAATTCCCTCTTTCTGTTGCCCAACTTCAACTGACTTTCCACCTTTATTTCAATGGTGCTTTTCAAGATTTAAGTTTGGGTGGTACTTGTTCAGTATTATTTTACAAGTCCAGGATATGTTTAAACCTGATTTTTCTTAACAAGAGTTTAAACACGATTTTAATGTTAGGTTTTGGAACATACACTTATTAATCTGGTTGTGCCCCTGTCCTGGGCGGAGGGTGGTTTATGCTATCATGTAACTTCATGGTATGGCTAGAATTGTTGCATATGACAAAACAAATACTGAACTTTGTAACGTTTTAAAGAAAAAATTACCAATTTTAGCTCCCCACTTGTATGATTTATTTACCACTTCTATAAAAACCCAAAATTTGGTTGCTTACACAGCCTAATAGAATAGGAATTAAACGACACTTGTCTTCAAGGCTTCAACCATACATTAGTGTGTTAATCTCTATATGCATTCTAAGCACAGAAGTTTTCTTCCAATATAAATCGGTATATGAGCTTTAACTACACATTTGACACAGCCTAATAGAATAGGAATTAAATGACACTTGTTTTCAAGGCTTCAACCATACATTAGTGTCTTAATCTCTATATGCATTCTAAGCACAGAAGTTTTCTTCCAATATATATAGGTATATGAGCTTTAACTACACATTTGATGAAAATCATATCAAAATGCAGACATTAACTCATCCATGCATCTTTGCTTTAACTAAGGAGATCATCTTTGGACTTCAGACTTAAAAAAAACGGAAATCTTTGTACCAGTCATTCTATTTGTAGCATGCCTCTTTGATTACTTTTCTGTATAAATGTCAAGATACTGGTTTGGGAAATCTAAATCCTCCCAGGTTTGTGATAGCTGTGTTGACAGTTCTTGACTCCAGCACTTTGCTTCCCCTTTTGCAGCAATAACGTACAGCCCCTTGTGATTGCGGCACATCCACAAGAACCAAATCAGTTCGCATTAGGACTTTCGGATGGTGCTGTTCATGTCTTTGAGCCCCTCGAATCTGAAGGCAAATGGGGTGTGCCTCCACCCGTTGAAAATGGGTCAGCAAGCAGTGTGCCAGCTACTCAAGTTGGAACTGCAGGTTCAGATCAAGCACAGAGATGATCAAAAGGCTGGCAGAGCACAAGTTCTTTTACATGCTTGGCTTGCTGGCCCATTCCAAATATAGGTATTTTGCATTTGACTACTTGCTATTTTTCCTAAGAGTGGTATTTATATTCCTTTGACACATTTTTGCCTTTTTGTTCTTTGTTTTTTGTTTTTCTTTTAACGCATTTTTGTTATGTATTGCTGCAGTTTGTGTTCTTGATGCAATGTAATTTACTCAAGGAATGAATGATGTGCAGATATGTAGATTTAACATGTTGGTTCAGAATATCAGTAAGGTAAATGCTGTAGGAGTATTGGCAGTGATATGTATTTATTTTCTGCGTCAGAAAGGAAGAGTTTAATGTTTCTCCCTTATGCTTTCGTCTTCCAATTGATCATGAATATATAATTCTTGTTAATTTTCTATGTCAATTTCCGTTGCTGTCTCAGTTTTCTTTTCTTTGACTTCGGCTGTTGTTAGTTGGATGTTAACCTGCAAGTCTTGTAGGATAATAATGGACCTTTGCCCTTTTTTAAGATTCTGGTTTCTCTTGAGGAAAATGGTAGGGAGATGACATTATTGTACCACATTGCCCTTTTTAAAGATTTCCATTTCTCTTTGGGCATGACAACATTATCGTATCACATTGTGTACCACTTGTCTAATAGCGGTGCGACATACTTGTTTTGCCCGACTCTTCCTCTATTAGAGAGGGGTGGCACACAATGCGTTACAATAATGTGGTCTCCGTGACATAACCCTTTCTTTTTATGCAGAAATGTGGACGCACCTTATGAGTCTTATGACGAAAAATCAAACTGTGACATTAGAAAAAGCGTCAAGGAAAATGCATAAACTCTTGCATTTACCACAAAACAATAAAGAGGGAAATAAATGTCATAAGAAAAAAGCTGGATATCGTAAATAATTGAAAATGCACAATGTGAAGGGAAAAATATAAAGAAGGTATACGACAGTTATTTTCATAGACCCAATCCTAGGAAGGCTATCCCCATTTTCTTCTGTGCAACAAAAGATAAGCTTGGCATGAGCATAGAGAGAATTTCTAAAACCCTACTTCTAACTTCTAATATGCATTTTGAAACCACATTCATGTGCAAATTACCGCATACACAATTTTCCCTACATTCCGTAATGCTTTTAAACACATCATTTTCTATCCATGCTGATGCTGCGAAGCTTGCAAACTAGGAAGGTGAGTCGACTGAAGCTTCCTAATACCATACAATCCTGCACGACTCAAGCATTGATGCGAGTGCCCAACTCAGTATCCCAATCAAGTAGAAAGTAGCCACAAGGGAAGCATCTTTTCACAAATAAAAGTTATTTCTTCCTTGTTAGCGAAAGGATAGAGGCAAGCCACAACAACATTTGAGCAAGAAAAGTAGCTACTGTTGTTTCAGTAAATTTCTGTCTTCAGAAATTAGTATCGGCAGTCCAATAATTGTGTACATCCAAGATTCCTCTGTAAAATACCAGGAATGCCCATGATGGTGAAATAACTATCATGTAATCTCTTAGGATCCTTCCTTTTTGTATAAGTAAGCATCTCCATGCAAACTTGGGAGCACGGTTGAGAAGAACATTGCTCTCCTGCTCTCTAGCTTCCAACAAAATTTTCCTTCGTTTTCAATGTTTTCCATTCCTACTAGCTTTCCAAGTTCCAAGCAACATTAGCAATATTTTAAGCAAGTGTCCTTTCATGCTTTATTTTCTGTTTGTTTTTCTTTTGTCGAAAAGAAGTTCCATTAACAAGGAAATATTACATTAGGGCAGTTACACAAAAGTAGGCTCAATAAAATCAAATTTGAGAGATCTAAGCATGGTGCCCAAACATAAGCCAACCAAACGCCGAACAAGACATAAAGCGTACCAATTACCAAAGCCCATACATACGGAAGTCTCTCTTCTAACGGGGCCTTAACCAAAACACAACACTATTTGAGTAAACCTAGGAGACCCCATACGCACTTGGGTTCGATTTACATAGGCGACAATTTTGAGGCAATCCAATATAATACTCTCTCCCCTTCCCTAGCGAATGACCCCAAAAAAAAAAAAAAAAAAAAAAAAAAAAAGAGGGATGGGAGAAAAAAGAGAGGAGAAAGACCCGTCCCTGGCCTGAGCAGCTCTGAGCAGCTTAGTTGGAACTTGGGGGATGTGGAAACCTAGAATAGCTGAAGAAATGACAAATCAAAGATTTCAAAACTCACTGAACTCAACGAACCATCTCAACACCATTCGTTGAGGCAGTATTCTTGGAAGATTTCATGTCATATTGATGCATTTGTAATGTCCTGCCCTATCATTCCTATGGAACTTAAAAAATATATCAATATGTTGTAAAATTTACGGTGATCTTGTATTCTCATTGCCAAATTTGTATGAAGCACAAATTTACAGAGTTTTGTAGAAATATCAGGCCCCAACCGAATGTAGAACAAAAAATAAGTAGTTTGTTCTTGGGGAACAAGGAACCAAGGAAATCAGTATTACTAAGCAGATGGATACAATCTGTTGTTTCCATTGAATACCAAATCTCTAATAAAGAGACAGAAGAGCCATGCCTGGGAAGCTTTTCATTCCAAAATAGATTTTAGAACAAAACTCAATATGAAGCAGAGATAATTTATAAAGCTATAGTTGAAGAGAATATGGAAACCCACATCTACCTCCAACCATATGCACAATAAGGTTCTTTTATACATGATTAAAGTCTATTCCTGCTGCCATTAGCTTACAGACTACTAATTAATACTTCGGGGAACTACTCAGGTCACTTAAATTGATCTTCAAAATTCTCAAATGGAAACAATTAAAGGAAGGGTGCGAGAGATTTTGAATGTTTCAATCCTGCCGCCATTAATGCTTCCGGTGAAATGAGATTTTGAAGGTTTCAATCCTGTCATCCCTGCATTCACATGGAAGGTGCGAGAGATTAAAGGACAATATACTGTTTTGGGTTACAATTTTAAGCCAGGTTTAGAAGGCATGACAGAAACATAACTTTTCCAATGAGTACATATACGCTTGGTGATGAACAAGTCTCTCATGAATCGCAGGGTATCTTTCCAAGTCCATCTTGATCAGGTTATACAAGTAAGGTAGCAGTCATTGCCAAGAGCAGTAATTGCACTATTTCTTCTACAACTCAAGTTTGACAGATCTGAAGGAATTTAATAAATAGTCATGTTGAGTTGATATGAACAGCCTAGGAAAAAAAGAAAAAGAAAGGAAATTACCTTCTCACAGAAGATTATGTGGTGTTGGGCGTACGACTGCAAAAGCTGGATGTAACCACTTGACATTGCTTCTCTAAGAAGATCTTCCTAGTGATTACCGGAGAATACGAAACAAGAAAGAAACAAAGGAATCTGATGACCATAGATAAAAAAGGAACTTGAGAGGAAATACAAAACAAAACAAAGTAAATATCTTGGGTTAATTACCAATTTAGCAAGAAGAGGTGGATGAGAATAGCAGAGCCCGTTGCCATCATCAGTTCTGATCTTCTCTTCCTTCTCATTCTTCTCACACCCTTATATCTTGAAACAAAAGTTGTTCCAGTTTCAGAATGAAAATGATGATGTCTGCTGCGGTACTAAAAATTCAACTCCCACACCTTTTTCACACATCCCATCCACCTTATTTCCAAAATATCAAGGCACCGCAAGTTCCCCAAAGCAGGCAAAAACTCACAAAAATCACTGTCATGAAGAACTAGCCTCCTCAAATTTTGTAACGACATCATTGAAGTAGAGGAGCGATACAAGAACTGTAAGCCGCAGGCATACAATTTACTTTTCACTGAAGATAATTGAAGTGAGGATGTAAATTACCAGAGCGGATGGAAATTAACAAAACTTGTTCAGTACCTTGGTCATCCACAGGTCCTTCAAAGAATCGCAAGGCATCCTTCCAAGTCCATCTTGATCAGGCTATATAATTAAGGAAGCAGCGGTACTCATTCAATTTCCAAGATCAGTGACGGTAAATAATAGCAATATTACTTCTACAACTCAAATTTTTGACATACATGAAGGAATTTAATGAATAGTCACATGTTCAGTTAATATGAATAGCGTAGAGAAAAATTACAAGTTCTTGTGGATGGGATCATTAGAAAAAAGAAAAGTTACCTTTTCATACATACAAGATTATGTGCAGCCACATGACATTGCTTGTTCAAGAAGATACCGTCTTCCTAGCGATTATCTGAGAATACTACTAAACAAGAAAGAAACAGAGAAAGCTGACGGTCATAGACAAAGAAGGAACTGGAGGGAAAAACAAAGTAAACATGACGAGTTAACTTAATTACCAATGCAGCAAGAAGAGGTGGATGAGAATGGCAGCGCTCATCGTCGTCATCAGTTCTGACTCTGTTTCCAGTTTGGCTGGATCGGAACTCCGTCTTGGTTAATTTTAATGTTTGGGATGTGAGACGTCTTGTCCCACAGCTTGCCGCTTCCTATTTCAAAATCTTGTTTGAGAATCGGAAAATCACTGATTTCCAGCGACTTGAGTGGTTCCACAGTAAGTCCGGCAGTGTTTTCAGCTAAGGTTGTTCCACAATGTTAAGGAGGAAAGAGATTGCATTATTGTAATTTCAGAATGCTCTGCTCCTCCTTCCCGTTCTTCCCACTCGACATCTTTAAAACAAAGTTGTTTCAATTTCGGGAATGAAGATGATGATGATGTCTGCTCCTGCACATCTAAAAACTCAACTCCCACCTTTTTCACACCAAGCATCCAACTTATTTCTAAAATCTCAAGGGACGGCAAATTCCCCAAAAGAGGCAAAAACTCACAAAAGAAATTGGTTTCAAGAGCTAGCCTCCTCAAATTATGCAACGACAGCATCCATTCGACATGCCAGTTGGTGCCATGGTAATGCAGGATGGTTAACTCTTCCAAATTTGGATGTGGTTGTAAGGCATTCAGGATTTGTCCATCCCTCCATCTTTTCTCATAATTTTTATCTACTGAGAAAGACAGATTCAACTCGACCAGGAGTTCCTTCACCAATTGTGCCTCTTTAGCCTCACTCACAGTGTTTATATCACTCAACCCATTTATACAAAGACTCCCTCGAAGCTGGTTCATTTCTCTCGAACTTCCCAACTTAAATGTTGTTTCATTGTAGTCAGTGTCACCATAGCCATGGCCTCTTCTGACAGAAACATAATCTAGTCTTTCCAGACTTGTTAATCTCTCAATCTCTTCTGGTAATTTTACACTACCAGAGAGGTAAGTATAAAGATGCTTTAAGTTAATCAGCTTTCGCATAGTGGCTGGTAATTTTACAAGAGACTTGCAATAAATGAGAGACAGTCTGCAGATTGTATAAATTACCAAGAGCATCAGGCAATTCTTTCAAACAACTATTTTTCGATAGATTGAGATAACGCAAATGAATGAGTTCACCTATCGCTTCAGGAAGTTCTTCAATCGAGTTTCCCTTCAAATTTAATGTCCTAAGACATTTTAATTGTAAAATTAAATCCCAGCTTATTGTTTCAACGTTCAAATCACAAGCTAGGAGAGTGCGTAGCTTTTTGTATTTGCAAATTGAAACAGGCGATCCATTATAAGGGGTTGATGTTGCCTCTGGGCCCCTTATTACCATTGCTATCCTCCTTAATATAACAATAATTTTTTGGAAATTATCTTGTGACATCTACATATCAATCAAATTATCTTTGCCAAACTCACAATCTTTGGAAAAAAACACCACAATATAAGAGACAACGTTTGGTCACCGACGTCAAATCATAATAACTTAGTAATAATGGTTGGTAGACTTTTTGTTCGACCTCTTCTAGTTCCCAAATCTTACTCTTCAAAACATTCAACCATTCTCTCCTTGTTTTCTTAAAGCGCATTAGGCTCCCTAAAGTCTTTGCCGCAAGAGGCAAACCTTTACACTTCTTTACAATCTTTTCTCCAATTTTCTCAAGTGCATCATCTCTTTTTCTGTCCCCAAAATCCAAGTGATTGAAGAGTGACAAACAATTTTGTTCGCTCAACACCCCCTCTTTTCGTGTAGTCACCAATATCCTACTGCCTACAAACACCATTGTGCAAAGATAACCTTAATTGCTCCCACTTTCTATCGTCTTCAGTCCACACATCATCTAGGACAATATTGAGGAACTTCTTACCCTGAATGAATTCAGATATACATTGCTATAGAGTTTGCAACACATTTGAATTCATCCGGGTATCAGATTTTTTCAGACCTTCAATGATGGCTTTAGCAATCTTGATCTCAAAAGGGTTTGAGACACAAACCCATACTCTATTCTGGAATTGGTTCCTCACCCTTTCATCATTATAGGCTAGTTGGGCAAGAGTTGTCTTGCCAATTCCTCCCATCCCTAAAATGGAGATGACAAGAGGACCCCTCTCCTCTTTGCTACTCTCACTCAGCTTCTTCACTAAATTATCCTTTTCAATTTCCCGACCAAATATCTTAGATATATCGACTAAAGACGAAGTTTTTGGGCGTACTTCAAGTTGTTCAATGCTTCTTTTTGTCTCTTGAAATTATACTTTTTCTTTCATTAGCAGTTTCAGTTAATTTTTCGTTCAGAGCTTTTATCTTATGAGCAATGTCACGACGAACAGTTACCCGATTCACTCGCCTAAAACGAAAGTTAATGAGAGGGGTGGAAGAAACGTACCATGGTAATTCCTTGTTTCTTAACTTCTTGTTTCAGAATTCCAGTGTTCCACTCATCCAAAACGTGGTCCATCTCGTACGATAAATCTTTTAGCTTATCCAACCAGTCTCTAACACTGGCCTCCTTCACTTGCCTCTGCTCTGCATCCTCTAGGAGAGCATGAATAGCTTTGAGATTGCTTCTGATAATTTCAACTTGTCTGTCTACACCCACCACAACTTTCGCCTGGTGTTCTATCCGTTTATGGATAATCGAAGTGAATCGATCTAGAAGTACGGAAATGAGTGCTTCAGCCATTGCTATATTGTGCTGGTGATGGAAATCCAAGAATGGTATTTTTTGGAAAAAGAATTGTTGTGCTATTTCCTTTCCTCTACCTTAGTTTATATAGTGAGACTAAATTGTCAAGGCCAGTGCATGCATGATGTAATCCTTGACAAGTACTCCACATGATTAATTATCAGCTAATTGCCATACTTAAATTTGAGATCAACTCTACTTGCTGCTTAGCAAATAGAATTTTGTAACTGGACAAGAAACGAATAAAAGTGCAAAACAAAGGTTCAAAAAATGACAAGAAAGATCATGGGATCACCTGGTAGGAAGACAACTGCAAAGGGATGCTTTTACTTGAAATATACAGGCTAGATATTTTTAATGATGAAGCCAAATAATATTTTTGCTTCTTAAGAAAATTAGGTATCACTAATATTTTTTTCTTCTTCTCTTGAATTTGAACCTAGGGAGAATTCAAGCATTAATCTTAATTAGTCATGATCAAGGAAGGAACTAACTTTTAGAGGACAATGCATGCTTTGACAAGTTGTCTTTCTCAAACATTGATTACTATTATTGCCCAGTGAAAAAGAAAACCATGGACCTAGCTTTTGTTTTCATTTTTTTTCTTCTTGTATCCAGATTTTGACCTAGGAAGGAATTTTAGAGGTCTATGAGCCAAGCTGTCTATGAGTAATGCTACTCTTACCACATTCTCATACCACTTCATGTGGCAGATGAAGTGAGCAACTACCTTAATTAAAAAGTACCAATAAATCATAAAAGAAAATGAAATATTAAACTAATTTTAATTGATGTGATTATCCACCTTACCTGGCACACAAAGTGATATGAAAACGTGATATACAAATGTGGTAAGAGTAGGCATTATTCTTTTTTAAAGGGCTCAAGGGAAAAAAGGAATAAACCAAAGGAAAATACTTCTTAGAATCGGGTAGTCAGAGACAAAGGAAAATGAACCCAACCATTTGCTTTCTCATTTTTAATGTTGTTTGATGTCATTGCTCAATAGAACTTCATTATGTCTTCAACATTGATTTTTATGGATAACAGGGAAAATTTGTTTTGTCCAACATTGATTCCCAGATGAAGTATGGATTTGTAACATTCTCTCCATTATCGAATGGCTTCATAAAAAACCGGAGCAGGAAAAACTTCACGGTACTGTAATGTTTCGTTGTGTTATAAAGCATTCCATCAAGAAATTTTCGGTACATATGAAATGCACCTAACACCTAACTACTTAACTAACGCATGACATTTGGATGTGCATATAAAACGCATCACAAATCACTGATTAATAAATTAAGTTGAAGAATCCATTGTTTTTAGATACTGTACAAGGAAGCAACTGAAAGCAGCATAACTTTCAAGCAGGTATATACAACGGTTATTTTCATAGACAGCCTAAGGATTTAAAAAGCGGCGGAAGTGCCATGCCCAGGAAGCTTATCCACATTTTCTTCCATGACAATTCGATTTTGGTAGAAAACTTCACATGAAGCGCATAGAGAATTTCTACACCTGTAGATCTAGACATTTTGAAACCCACCCAACCATATACAAAATTTACCAGATCCCTTCCATAATGTATTTATATACATAGTTGTATGTCCATGCTGCCAGATTCTGAAAGTTAACTTAAATTACCTCCAGAACTATTCAGGCCGGAAGCTTACCAGGTTGGGAAGGTCAGTCAACTGAAGCTTCCTAATCTCGTTTGCTGTCACCTTGCAGGACTCCAATGTCAGAGATTTTAAATTCTTCAGTGTTTTCAAATGCCGAAGTCCAGAATTGGTGATCCGAGAATTTGAAACGTTTAAAGAGATCAATCCCGTCAGCCCTGCATTCCCATAGAATGTGAAAAATTAAAAGATAATAATGGCATTGGCTAATATGATTAAAATATGATCCCTCCCACAGAATTGAAGATCCAACCAAGGTTTAAAAAGGCGGGTCAAGATCACTGCTAGAGAAAGAAGTCTAACTCCCTCTTATGAATACAAGTGCACTATCAGAATTTCTTTTATACTGTGATACTGCCAACTTTATAACTTCAATAGAGTAACAATAATTACATGCTTTACTTTTTTTAACTAAGGAACAGGTATTTCTTCCTATACTTGGAAGGCATTCCCACCCCCCACTCCTCTCCCCTTTTCTCCTGGCCATCAAGGCATTTCAGGGATGAAAAAGAATGCATGCATGCAATTGTTATGGCCATAATTGCAAAACAAAAAGCCAATCCCAGTATCCATGAAAAGATCGAAGGGTCACACTTCTTACAAGAACATATATATCAAGAATACAGTCACCAAGTGGAAATAAAATTTTGACCACATATTGTCCTCTGAACTGATACTGCCATCATTGGCAACAGTGAGTATGCATTTATATCTTTTGCACTTGAAATTCCCATGTTTGGCCCACTAAAATGGTCCAATCTCAAACACTGCCAAGTTCCATTCAATAGCCAATATAACAGATAAAGCTAGCATATCCATCATTCTTATAAACCAAAGTTTATAGGCATACCAGAAATCAACTCCAAAGCTTTATCAGTCAGGTTGCAGTTTTGAGACAGATTCAGTAGGGTCAAGGATGAAAGATTTTTAATATTTTTTATTCCAGCATCCGTCAATCCTCCACCGCATATTTCCAGGGACCTCAGGTTTTTAAAGCCTGAACATTGCAAATACAATGGTATAAAATGAACTAGTTTAAATCTTGGTAAAAACCAAACTCAAAACTGTTATGTGAATGTCATTTAATAAAGAAGGCCTCTTATAATCCGCTAGTGTGTGACCAACAGCCTCTCAGGTCAACTATTAGAAGACCAATTTGTTTCCATGCTCCATGGTATTTCCCGGCAAAATTACCAATAGTATTTACCATGCCAGTTATGTATCTCTGATTCATATCAGACATAAGAATGCAACCATCATATACCAAAAAACATAGAAAATTAATTATCAAATTGTCATTAAAATGATACACTTGACTATTGCTCTATAATCATATCCTCCAGTGTTTCCCATCTATAGCGTTCCAAAACAAAAATACCTCAAATTCAATACGATAACAGAACTCAACTCTAGTTTACAAATGGTAAGCCTGCTACTTCGGCAATACCAATTTCCAGGTACATTGAGAAACTAAAGGGCTGAATAACTCGTTCATTTTAGAGTCTCATGAAATAGAGTGTACTTACGGAGGCAAACTTGAAAACTGGAAACTACAAATAATGGATGTATTTCAAGGATGTTACAACTTGGAAATTCTCTAATTTATTTATACCACTTAAGAGGGTGCGAGAAATGTTTTCGGAATAAGCAATTTAATTAATGTGGTAAGAGTAGCGTTAGCAAAATGGTACTTTTGTATTTTGAATAGGTTAATTTGGTTTTTATGTCCCATCTAGAGTTACCAACATCACAGTACTTCTGGGTTCACAGTATGGTTATGTCAACGCAATCCTGTTCCCTGTACATGGTACATTGTGCACATACTCGGACAGCAATGTGGTGTTGCAGTTTGAATCGTTGCACTTACCACTTGGGTTGCTAGTGCACATCTTGAAGTATGTTCATAAATGCAAAATCACTTAGAATCACATCAAATTAGTAGCTTACATGCATTCAAGGGAGAATAAGCATCCTTCCCTTAAATTCCAGTATGTCAACATTTTGTCACTTGATTCCTCCCCATCTATCAGTAGAGTGTTGGGAAAGCCAGTATTTCAGAACCGGATTGCCAAAGTACCACAATATGGTAAGCACAATCCAGATCGCTATTCCCAAGAGGATAGGGAAATCTGGTAAATTCTGGTCTGGTCCCATCAATTGGTTGGTTAGCTATAGGCTTTTGGCTTGTGGGAAGAGTGGGTTTTTATTTATTTTATTATATATATATGGTCTCAAGTCCAGGTGATACTTTGAATAAAAAGAACCTTGGGATCTATGTAAGTGACACCATATTACGAATGTGTGATGTAAAACTTCTCTTAGATGTGAAGTCTTGGTACGATTCATGTAAACCTAAACAACCCTGCATCACTAGTGGCTTGCCAGGTTCCATATATACTGCTGATATCAGCAGGTCCATAAGTGCCCAAAGCAGTGGTTTCTGTGTGTGCGCGCGACATTGTCAGTAACTAACATGTGGCTAATTTAAGTAATTGAACCATTACAGTGTTGCATAACATACTTCGCAGATAGTGTGTTCCAGAGTCTGTAATTCGAGCTCCAAATAGATCGAGGTGTGTCAATCCAGTTAAACCTGCATCAACAAAGAAAAATGTGTGCAGCATTTATAAAAAAACCAGATGACTTACTGGGAAACCATAAAACTTGAACAACCACCACCAAGTATCCAATTATTCAACCTTAAAAGCTTGGAAAAGGCATCCGAAATTTTTGTCATCAAGGGGTTAGATCTAGTTAGCATACTACTATACATCAGAATGCAGTTTCCATCTAAGGATACTTACTTGTAAGAGCTGCAAGTCCACTATCAGTAATTTGGCGAGCGTCCAAATTAAGTGATTTAAGAGACGACAGGCCAGACAGTTTCCTTAAACCACTGTCAGTAACAACAGTGAATGAAAGATTTATACTTTCCAGATTAATTAAACCTACAAAAAGCAAACACTAATCAGGTTAAGAAAGAATAAAATCCACAAATTAAAATTGACAAAATATTACCTTAAAGAACAATAAGAACAGAGGTTGGTCAGTGATGCAGGATGCGTAGGACCTAAATTTATTAGTTTCCTAATGTATTTGTTAGTTTCCTAGATACTCTAGTTTTCCAAATTCTAGTAGGATTTCTACTTTTCCAGATTTCTAGTTTTAAGTTTCCTATTTTATTGGGGTTATGATTTCTGTTTAAGCAAGGGATTTTTATCCTATTATGTCGAGGTTTTAGTTTGCTATAAATACCCCCATGTAGTTCTTTAAAAAGGGAAATTTGAATGTTGAGTAAACCTTTTCCCAGGACTCTCTGATTTCGTCCCTTCGATCTATATTTCTTCTCCTCGATCTCCGATATTCTTCTTTGTTCTACTGTTTCTGTCCTTTATCTTGTCTTTTCGATCTCTATTTCTTCTGCTCGGTCTCTTATATTCTTCTCTGTTCTATTGTTTGAGTGCTTAATCTAATACAACCTACAGGCTGTACTACATCTCATTATTTTCATCTCCTGCATGGTGGCATCAGATAAGCCAGCCACCCATTTTTACATGAAATAGCCTAATTCAGCATTTTATTCCTTAATAGTCTTAAACATCACTAGAAAACACCTAAAATCCAGAGGGTTTCCTTTCATTCAAGTGCATCTTTAAGAGACCAAATCAAATTCTTAATTGCCATATACAGGAAAGAAAAAAACACCAGCAGGCAGGCGAGACAGAAAACGCTGGCACTACTAAACAAGCCACATATAATGAAAACAGGTCTTGGTCCATGGAATCCCAAAAGGGTAAATGCACAGTTATGCACAATTTTACCCTGTCTGCCAAAATATTAGCCTGGAACCTCCGATGTTTTCTCTATACATTAGTGACAGTGACACAAGAATGTTTTTGCTAAATTAATTATACTACTTATCAATACCAAAGAAAAAGACAGAATGTGACTCAACCCAAACTTTATTTTTCTGTTTATTTTTTCTCAAAATTTAGAATACCACAACTTTTATTTTACATACGTTTTTTCATTAAACTTTTCTGTTTGTAAAGCATTTGTTGAGATCTATAAAACATTATGTATTAAAAAGAAGTCAGGATGATGCATCTATGGGGAAATACACTCACATGATATGAAAAATGAATTATGCTGCGTCATGTTTTTGTGAATTTCTGAGACATAAACTTATTCACTTTTATTCGTTCATAATTTTATATTTATTGCAAGTTTTATTTGATAGATCTTGACAAAAGAAAATTTAAAATTTTATGAAACAGATATGTAGAATCAAAGTCATGATATTCCAGACTTTGAGGAAAAAAGAAAAAGAGAAACTATGGTGCAGTAGTAGTTTTTGGAAAGAGGATGGAGATTTTGTCAATTCTTTGTACTTGTATGGATGTCTCATTTCTTTAGTTTGACATTTCCATTGAAAAGTATATAGCAACCTTGGATGATTAGAATAAGCCATTGTGACTAGAGGCCAGAATCTAAAAATCCCTATAATTGGCTGACATCTTATCTTAAGCTTTTGAAAACATAGGTAAGTTACCAAAAGTATAACCATGTTAACTTGATGACCAAACTAGACATAAAGACAATTTAGTGAAAAATAAGTATGCTTATGGATAAACCAACTACTACAACTAAAAATGCACAATACTCAGTTATAAACACAGTTCCTGTGTCTTTGTGTGTGTCAGTGGGCAGGTACGGCGAAAACTGAATCAAACTATGGTCACAAACCATAAATCAAAGGTAACGTCTAACCTGACAGATGGCGGAGCCCGTTGCTTCCAACTTCAGTTTCTGACAACTCCAAACATTTCAAACGCTGAAGGCCTAAGAGCATATATACAAATACCAATATTCATCAAAATCAGAGGTGGAAAAATAGGAGGGAAGAAGAGGCATCCTCATCTTTAATTTCATAAGTGTAGCTAAAGAATTGGCAAAGCTATTCAAAATCAGCATGTTGCCATACTTAAAATTGTAAGAACGATTTTAACCCAAAATATCACATGTACGCATAAGTCATGCCACCAAGATACGATATAAGCAGAAACCATAATGCAGAAAACCCATAATGTATGCATACCAAGATTGTCCTTTCATTAGGTGCCACATGTTGTATTGGGTATCCATCATAAAAACCCAAATGTTGACATTGATTGAAATTCGAATTGACAGTGGAATCAGCAGCCATTAAGAAGAATTTAAAATTTAAAATTTATTTTATAAAAGCAAACCAGAATAGATATTTCAATTTTTCCAAGCATTTTAATTACAGTAGTTCACTGCAGGTGTAGGATCATTTTTTGAAATCTCACATGATGAAGTCACCAAAAACCTTGTAACTTGCGTAACCAAAGGAAAACAATAATAATAAAAACTTTTAGCTTGAATCAAATACTTGGATTTATGCCATCAGACTCAATACAAAACAGAAGTGGATGTTCTTTTTTTCTTTTTTTGAGAAGTGGTAGTTCAGTTAGCGAGGAAAAAAAGAGAAAGAAAAATACAACTATGCATGGAAACTCTCATCATCTTTGCAAATATTCTGGAGACATTCCAGTTTGATATTAGAGACAATGTGCAAAAACATGTTTCCATTACAGAATTTCATGAACATAAACATAAGGCACATATACTATCCATATTATGCATCTGCTAAACACTGACCTGTCAAGTTGACCAGCCCTTCATCACCAATCTTACATGAATCCAGGTTCAAGCTCTCCAAATTTGTCAAACCTACTTGAAGCAAAGGAAAAATCACAATGGTAATATATGCATATAATACAGCAGGGAAATGAAGGATTCTGATATTGTAATCAATATAAAAAGGATGAGCTAAACTACAGCACCCTGAATGAATTAGGAAATTGCAGAGTGTATGTGTCTGCAGACCATAGGTTGCTTTCTAATTTTGAAGGCTATCTACTATTGATGAAAAAATAAATGCCTAAAGAAAGTCTTGAATCAAAGTTTTTCACCCAAACACAAAGAAGATTTAAAACAAATAAACCACCTTTCAAGTGCACCAGGCAAGCATTGGTGATCTCAGTGAACCCCAAGTTCAACACTTTTAAGTTCCCAAATCCTGCAGAACATAAGGAATGCTACAATTTCAAGCTCAGGACTGTACTTACAATTAAAAAAAAAGAAAATAAAAAATTTAAAAAAAAAGGAAAAAAAAAGCAGTTTCTAGGTACAACTATATTTCATGACTACAACAGCAAAAAACAAATGTCATTAGATCGTTGTAAAAGAAACTTACTGGAAAACTTCTCGCATCCTTCATCAGTCAGATGACGACATCTGCTCAGATTCAGATATAGCAGGGCATCAAGAGCTGGTATGCAAGCAACCCCATTAAAATATCAGGCCCAACCTACGTTCTTAGGTTAGAAAAAAGGGCGAAGGTCTTCATATTATTTAGTTTTGGCATATAACGTGTATAACTTTGAGAAATGTTGATCTAGAAGTCATGATTTATCATTAAAAGATCAACAAAGATCAGATTCTCAACCTAATTATGAGGGATTTCAACACACAATGCGTTTAGAGAACAAGAAACCCTTTAATACCCCAGAAAAAAAGATTTTAAAATAGTTTAACATTAAATGTGGTCATTCACTATTTACTAGTTCGGGATATTTGTAAAAATGTCACCTGAACTTATACCTTAGTTTCAATTTGTCACCTTAAAAAAAATTTAAGAGAAATGTCACCTGAATTTTTCAAAATCTATAATTTGTCATCTGACTTTAACATCATCTAATTTTTCATCCTTGATTAAGGGTATTTTAGTCTTTTCATTTTTAAGGGTAGTTTAAAAATGAAAAAAACATTATATAAAATTGTATATATTTTAAAATAAACCATTAAAAATCAAGATTCTTTCCTACCAAACATTAAAAATTGAAAATTGCATTTTTTTCCATCCCCCTGTCGTCTCTCTCTATTCTCCCTTCCTCCCCAACCACACGTCCCTCTCCTCTGTTATTTTTCTCCCCCAAGACCTTAGCACCTGGTACGGAGTTGCGTCAGCTGTAGATATAGACTAGGCTAAGGGACGGACTTCATCTCTTCTATTATCTTCACTGTCTAAGTGTCTTTCTCGCCTTCCACTCTTTTTGTGAAGTTCATTGCTGAAAGACCTCGCTCTTTGCTGGGTGGGTGGTCCTTCTCTTTGACGTCAATCGTTTGGCTTACTTGAGAGGCGAGATTTTTCTTTGCCTGTAATGTTGAGAACTGGTGGTGTTTCTTTAGTTCAAAGTCATAGTAGTCTACTCTATGTGATGTTAATGTTTTATTGTTTAATGTTGGAATAATTTCGACGTACTGTTTTAGAGTGTTTACACACACCCATTGCATATATTCATGTACTTGGGTAACTCTTGTTCATAATTAAATATGAGGAAGAGGGTGGGGGTCAAGTGGGGATGGGGTGCTCAGGTCTTGGGGGAGGAAAAAAAAAGAGCTTAGGGGAGTTGTGGTTGGGGAGGAAGGGAGAATAGAGAGAGAGACGACAAGGGGATGGAAAAAAATGCAATTTTCAATTTTTAATGTTTGGTAGGAAAGAATCTTGATTTTTAATGGTTTATTTTAAAATATATACAATTTTGTATAATGATTTTTCCATTTTTAAACCACCTTTAAAAATGAAAAGACTAAAATACCCTTAATCATGAATGAAAAAGTGGATGATGTTAAAGTCAGATGACAAATTATAGATTTTGAAAAATTCAAATGACATTTCTCTTAAAAAAAATTTTAAGGTGACAAATTGAAACTAAGGTATAAGTTCAGGTGACATTTCTACAAATATCCCTTACTAGTTCTATAGGCATTTCCAAAAAGTAAGAGAAATGAATACATAAATAATACAATCACATAGATACACTCAAACACGAATGGTATACATAATCAAATACATAACACAAACACATATATGAATAATTGATAGTAATTGATTAACCTCATCAATGAGTCAAAGATTACGTGAAATACAATTACCAAAGCACAATTATAATGGCTAAGAAAAAGTCCAAATACTTTGGAATGCAAACCTGAAAGCGAGTCCAAGCATGCAGCAGTAACTGGGCATCCCTCCAAGTTCAAAAGAGAAAGTTTGTGCAGACCTGCAACACATAGAGATGATATACATAGTTACATGGAACGAACAGCCACACAATACACCTTGCTAGGTACCTATATCCATGATATCCAGTTAAGTAAACTAGAATCTATTTTTATTATCAGTAAGGGCAGTTATTAAAAATTGAAGACTCCAAATGTAGTACATGAATTTTATATCAATGAATGACTAAAATTCCTCGAATTCTTTAGAAAAAGTCCAAGTCAAGAAGCCCTAAGAGGTGAGGTGATGGGGTCAAACCATTAGAACATCATACTCAGGATTCATCTTTATTAAACACTCCAGAACTAAATTTAGCGGCCAATATTCTTTACTGTTCACACCCCTATAAAACAGCATTGGCTTCTGAAAACATGCATTCACAGCCAAACAAGCATGCCTCCAGCACACAGATAGAATCTTCTTTGTTAAACCTTATATGGTCTGGGACCTGAGCCCTCATAATAATGACGCTATTCATGTGGGTTGTTACAATTTTTTTGCCCTACAGATAACGATACCATTTGGAGGAGGTACGCACGCTCAGAAACCTTTTTTATTTTTTATTTTTCCAACAACTGCATTTTTCCTCCTCTTTAAATGGCTTTCCAGGAGGAAGTCCACTCCAGAAAGCCCTTTTTCCTGGTTTATTTTACTTCCAAGAACAATTGAATTTCAAAACCTGAAAGTTTCTTCTTGTTATTTCTTTTCATCTACCTATTACCATCGTTATAGACTATCTATATGCTTTCCCTAGGACAAACTTTCAAATCTTGAGAATTAATATTGCCAAAATTACAAAATTTCAGTATCAATTACACACTATTTATCGTAGAAGAAAAAATTAAAAAAATTTAACAAATCATTATCACTTATGGATTATAAGGTAGTACTAAATCATCATCACTTATACTTGGAGTTAGTTCGAACATTGATGAATGGGTTAGTCAGCTGGATACAGCTGGAACTTCTGGTTAATGCCACTTAGTGGTTTCTAGTTGATCAGAAGTGTCAAGCGAAATGCCAACTCTATATAATAAGTATAGATGAATCCTTTCTATCAAAGTTATCGACTCTCAGCCTGCCACAACCCTAGTTTTTTTTTCTTTTCAAAAAACAGATACAAAAGGCGTAAGCTGTACAACCACAGAAGTATCAAACTATAAAAGGTCCATGGACCCACAATTATTGCACAAGATTTCTCGCAGCACAAAGATGTAAGTTCTGAAGATAAATGAATTACAAAAGCAAATACCTTTCAAGTAAGTAATGCCAACATCAGTCACCTTACTGCAGGAAACTTGTAAGCATTTCAAATTTGTAAGCCCTGAAATACAAATGAATAATTTTTTTTTGAAACAATGAAACTATAACAAAAATTTTAATTCACATTGAAAACCTGAGCACCCACAAACATGTACATAATTTTTTATATGGGCTCTTCTTGAAGTTCTTGAAGAATGGTAACAAATAATTTCCATGAGTTGCTTCGAATTGCTACTCCAGTTATGTCTATTTCCAGATTTTACTAATCTCATATTGAAAGTCATCTGTGTACAAGTGGGAAGCTCAAAAGTCATGCTCTAGCTTTTAATAAAAGCCAGACCCTAAAACTGAAAGACTAAGGCCTACATTTCTTTTTCAGTGTGAACAAAAGGAAAACCAATATGTAAATTACCTGAGAGAGGTTTCATGTCAGCATCATCTATGCAATTACACCATTTGATATTAAGAGACTCTAGTTTTGTTAAGCCTGTAAAAAAAAAATTTAAACAAAAAATATGAGACATGATTAATGTATTCATCAGTAGTGAGAATGGTGGCATGCTGATGTGAAAGCATTATCTGAAGACCGTGGTTCACATCCAATGTGCACCACAGGAGACAAATCATGCAACATTCTATGGTGAATAATAATCAGAAATTGAAGACTAGAAGTTTGAGGACCTAAGGCCTATCATAATATTTTTAAAACTCATACAGGTCCACGAACTCCACTAAATTGTTGTCATACAGGCCCAAGTGTTTCATTATTGAGTCACACATTAATTTTTGCTTGTGCATTAACTGACTGTAAGCAGATATTATTATCACTTTGAATGGTTGCCCAAATCATATGCCAAAACAACCCATATGTATGATAAACCGGTGCTAAACTGTGTAGACAATTAAAGCACCAGCTCCAATTGTGCTGTAGAAAAAGCAATGCACTGCAACACAGTTTTCTTTGGGAATGTTTTCTCATCATGTTCAAGAACATCATAAAACCACTTTGATTATTATTATACTTTCTAAACAGCATCATCAATAAAGGCTGATTTTTTTAATCCCAAGAGTCAGATATACATAGAGGGTCTGAAACAAAACATGTTCAAAACCAATTCCATAAGTCAAACAGGTGAGTTAGCATGTACGGAGGAAAAGAAATAGAAGTTCACTTTCCAGAGAAGTGGATTTAGAGGCAAACATACCTTGGAGATGAACAAGCCCACCATGGATTTCAGGACATTTCTCCAAGTCCAACTTGATCAAGTTAATCAAATTAGCGAAGGCACTCATCCCATGAGCAGTAATTGCACTATTTCTTCTAAAACTCAAATTTGTCAAGCTAGACAGACCTGAAAGAATGTAACAAAAGTCAAATGCAGAACCAAAAGGATCACAAGCCAACTCTCATAAATATTCTTCCATATTCAAGCGAAGATACAACAATATTGAGCATAAAGAAGAAAGGATTAACAGAAAAAAGAAACAAAAAAGGGAAGAATAAGTATAAGGGTGTTGGACTAATAATGAATGTTTTTAAGGGTGCATAATAATTTAGTCTTGTAGAAATAATTGCACACATGATACAAACTCCAGTTGTGTATGCTGCACAAAATTTTATAATTTAGCACATACAAAAGAATATATGATGACCCGTCGTCCCTCCCCAGTCATCTCCTTATTATTCACTTGCTTCTCAATTTTTTTTTCTTAATAGAAAGCTTAAATAATTTTAGGTGATAAATAAAAGGGATGTGCTAATCCAACAGCTATGTTGGCTGGCCACCAGGGCTAACCAAATTATATGCTTCATCTTACCCAAAATGGCCTTTGGGAATCGCACTTCCCCAAAAAGAATCAAACAAACGAAAATCAATTTAGTGCTAGAAAGGAAACCTATCAAAGAAACAAAATAAGGATTAAGATGGACTACCACTGATGTGGCCGAGGCCATGGTCCGATATGTGGTCACAATAATTAAAATTTAATGCTTGGAGACTTGTGCAATCTTTCAGAAAAACTAATCCATTGTCAGTAACATCAGAACCAGAGAGATCCAGAGAGAGTAACGATGACCCTTGCGAGGAGATGACATCCATCCAACTATCATTTACACCAGGGTATTCTCCCAAGTAAAGATCCTTCCAAACAAATGACAGAAACTTTCAAGGTCAGCCTGACTGACAACAAAAGAGGAACAGGACAGCACTGACAAAAAAAATATTATAAGAATTAGAAGGTGATTGCCAGTATTATTACTATGAGCTACCTGCAAAGCACAGTCCCGAAAACCTTCAAAAGAAACATCAGTTAGGCATCCGGAGTACACCAACTCATTGATGATCTGTTGACTAATATCTCTTGGGAGCATAGAGAATGTGTTATATTTATCAATGTCCTGTTATTCAAAAGAAACCATTGGCATAAGCCAAGAAAAACTGAACCCTAGTCCCTAGCCCAAAAAAGATTCAGAGAAGTAAGTACCTCACATATTTTACGGATGCACAAGTCCATGAGGGATGGCCCTCTGCCTGGTTGAATATCTAAAACAGGGCGGGTGAAGGAGGTTGTCAACCACTTCGAACTCCCACTTTTGCAATATCTTCTGGAAACACCTAGATGAAAATCATCTTCATCATCTCGGTGGTCTCTCTTCCTAGAACAAGCTCCCCCCATCGAGAAAATGTCTTGGAATCAATATATCTCACAGAAACTGAACCAGAACACTACTCTATCCATTCAATCACCAGACTTGGAACATGCACCCTACTTCATGCTGTAAAAGTAGAGAGTAAGGAAAATAAGTACTCAGTACATTTGACCAGTTGACCTTAAGAAAATGCTTCATGCATGTCATTAATTTATTTGATGAAAATTACAACACATTGAACAGCAGTCAAGATTTTTCTGACATAATAGTATGAAATAAGGCTTTTCAGCAACAACTTAGTAATTCAAACTGGTGCCTATCATGTTTGTGCCAGAATTAATAATGTGATGATTACATTAAAATAAATGGAAAAAAAATCCTTAATCTACAAAAACACAGTTGTGATGCACGATACAAGGTCCACAAATGGAAACCTCAAAACCTCACCCCAATTAAGCCTCTATATCATCCATTAGCATTCCAACCCCCCACTCCCCCGGAAAAGGAAAAAGGTTTGTCACCTGACTCCTTTATCCAAACTAATTGGGGTTGTAAACATGAAACTTTCTAATACTCATTTCTATGCAACGCCATATTCTCCCCCAAACTATACTATAATCATATTCATCCTCACTTCTACTCATTGACAATATGATTTAGATATTGACAACCAGTGTAAAGCCTCAAGATCCAATTTCCATCTGAGAAATTCCGTGCCAAATCTATTTCCATCATTTCATAACATCAACATGGAATGATTATATAAGCAACCGCAAATAAACAGCATTGCAGCTAAAATAGACAATGAAAGAATTAAATACAGCAAAGGATGTATATAAAGAAGTAAATATGGTAGCCATTAATCTTCGACATTGGTTTTGCAATAAATGCCCACGCAAGCACTCAAACGTATAATCAGTAAGCCCTGATTTTAGGATTGCTTTCAGGTAACACCCACTTTACAAAAGACTTGTCACTACCAAAGCAAACAGTTGAAGCAGAGGAGTACATCTGTACTACAAGTTTTACTACATTGGCGATCCTATGTGCACCAGTTTACAAGATGTACTTAAGCTTGCAATTCGGGTTGGATTTTTTATCTGTCAAGTCAAGGGGAAAAATTGGTTTATATGTTTGATTCGCATTAATTACTTTCCTTTCCTCCTTCGCCTATTTCAGACTAGTTTCAGTTATTTCATGAACACTTAAAGAAAACAACTACAATAAGAACTGCAATTGCAACTTTTAACTAATGCTTATTTCACTTACTAAATTTTCTGAGCAAACAAACAGAACCCATCATCGGTAATGAAAAGAAAACTAAAATCGTAACAGATAACATAGAAGAGAAAGCCATGATCCTCTTATAGTAATACAATAGTGGAAATGATGAGAAAAAATACAAAATCCCATGTAAAAAAATCAATGCTTTCCTCAAACAAACTCGCTTTATGTGTTAATGAATCGAACAAAAGGCTTAAAGCAGGAAAAAATCATCACTTTCCACGGGAAAAATAATAAGATAACTTCCAAAGAAAAGAAACAAACAATCCATAACCCAAAAAGAAATTTAAAAGGAAAATGTTTTTTTCCAATTATACCTTAGCATGATCAATTGCCTCGTACTCTGATTCTCCAGAAAGAGCGAGAGAGGATCAAAACTCCAAAAAGTCTCTGTTAAGTGATTTCTAGAGAAAGAGAGAGCTAATAAAGAGAGTGACGGAGACTGAAAGCGAGGTGGCGTATGCCGAACCAAAATCCGAACCTACGGATGGTTGACACGCGGGGCTTAGTAAGCCGAGATGGCTCAGAGTTTGGTTGGTGAAGGGCGGGATAAGCGGGAAGGTTTGGGCCCAACGGTTGAGCATTATCCATTGGGAAGATCTGGGCCCCACCCGTTGATCCTCTGGAAGACTCTGCACGCATCAGGAGGCTGAGGGGTGGTTGACGCAATTGTACGTCCACGATTGATACCAACACTGTTTCTTCTTTTTCTTTTAATTTTAAAAAGGAGCTATTATTAATTTATTCATACTTCAAAAAATACTCACCATATATACTAGCCCCTTGCGGTTGGTGTGTGTCAATTGATTTTTTTAAAATATTTTATTTTATTTTAGAATTAAAAAAAGATAATGCATAGTTGTATTTGATAAAAATAGAACTCATGATATGATTTTGTTTTAAATTTTAAATTTTTTTAATATGAAAAAGTGTGAATTTACCACATTATCCTCATTTAATTAATAATTTCAATTCTTAATGTTTGCATTAACCAAATATATTTTTGGTATATTAAATGTTTTACCACTCTCTACTATTTGCTTTATATATAACTAGCCTCTTTGAACGTACTTTTTTTCTTGCTAGAGGCTTTTTTTTTTATATAAAAATTTTAAATTTATTTTATAATTAAAAAAGATAATGAGTAGTTGTGTTCTATAAAAATAAGATTCATTATCAGATTTTTCTTTTAATTTTTTTTAAATATGAAAAAGTGTGAATTTACCATATTATTCTCATTTAATTAATAATTTCAATTCTTAATGTTTGCATTAACTAATGGTATTTTCGAGTATTTTGAATGTTTTATAATTCTTTGCCTTTTGCTTTATATATACTAGCCTCTTCGCACATGCTTACACATATAACAATTTGTTTTTTTATTATTTTATTTTATTTTATTTTAAGAATTAAGAAAAGATAACATGGGTAGTTATGTTCCATAAAAGTATGACATATTATCTGATTTGTTTTTAATTTTAATTTTTTTAATATGAAAAAATGTGAATTTAACATATTATCCTCATTTAATTAATAATTTCAATTCTTAATATTTGAATTAACCAAGGGCATTTTATGGTATTTTAAATGTTTTACCATTCTATGCCTTTTACTTTATATATATAGATACTAGCCTTTCCGCACGCGCTTCTGTATCTGCGAGAGTTTTTTTTTTTTTTTTTTTTTTTTTTTTTTTTTTTTAATTTTATGAATTAAAAATAATAATAGGTAAGTTTTGTTCCATAAAAAATAGGATCCCTTATTTGATTTTTCTTTTAATTTTAATTTTTCTTAATATGAAAAAGTGTGAATTTACAATATTATCCACATTTTATTAATAATTTCAATTCTTAATGTTTGCATTAACCAAGGACATTTTCTGGTATTTGGAATGTTTTACCATTCTCTGCATTTTGTTATATATATAGATATATATATATATATTGTATTTCTCATAATTTCCTCACTTATTCATTGAATTAAAGGCTAAGGTGCATTTTTTGTAGTTGAGTTTTGCTAAATCAATTTTGGTAATGTGTTTTTATCTTTGTTAATTTTGTCATTATACTGTGTTTGCAAATCAAGCCAATTTCTTTTTCTTTTTTTTTGGGCCAAAAATCAAGCCTACTTTCTAACTTCTGTTTGTTTATGTGCAAGTGATGTTAGCTTTAAAAAGCAAAATTGAGTTAAATTTATTGTTTCACCTTGAAAGAAAATCACTTCTAAATAGGACCATGGCCCATGTGGGCTTGACCTTGTAGCCTTGGGGCATTCGGCTTAAGAACCATGAAAAATATGAATTTGTTGTAAAATGAACGGTATATGCGGGAATATTAAGTTGCACGTAAAGTAAATGAGACACAATATTTAACAGGGTTTGATCATATCTACGTCCTTGGAGAGCAGCAACAGTAACTTTTCCACTATGTAAAATAATAGGGCTACAACTTTAGTGTTTACAATATCTGTGGCTCACTGATTTTTCTCTCTTGGAGAATTTCTCTCTGCTCTCTTTTCTCTCTTGCAAGTAGTGAGGATGACCTATTTATAGGCTAATTGAATGGAAGCAACCAAACTTCACGTGGGTGTGTAGAAAATTCCTCCAAGATGTGATTGGCAAAGAATCCAATATGTGGGTTCCACCCACTATCTTTACAACACTCCCCCTTGGAGACCACAAGTAACTAACATGTCATCTCATTAAATTTTGTTAGAAGAAAACCCAGTGAGGTAGAGAATTGATGGAAGGAAAAAGAGTACATCAATCAGTGTAGCATACTTCTATATGCTCCCTCTGATGAATATCTCCTTCTGATATCTTCATGAATATCTTTTTGGAGGGAAAATCTTTCAGAGTGAGTGGAGGATGTAACCATAAAAAATTCCTTAGTTTATTAAGTAAATATATTTCCAATGAGCGATCTTTATGTAAATCATAGAAATTTCTAGAGTCTGCATATCCAACAAAACCTGGGCTATTTGTAAGTTCACTTGAAAAGAATATGCTTGCATATGGTGTTATGCTGAGATAGCATCAAATATGCCTCACATCATCCCAAAGTGGTGGTGATGGAGCTAAGCTTTATCTGGAAAATACAATGTATGATCCAGTATACTTTCGAAAAATTATTTAAATGCCCAACAGATAACCCACATAAAAATGTTTCAATACTTTCTTAGTATAAGCAAAAATCTCGTTGACATAATGCTCAATCTTCAAGCCAAGACAAATATTTCTTGAACTCTTCAAGAGTTTTAACCAAGTATTAACTCTTCAAGAGTTTTGATCAATTATCAACTCTTCAGGAGTTGTAATGTGTTGCAACCATATTATAATGAATGTACTCACTAAAACAATTTATACATATTAGTATTGAGTACAAAATTTATGCTTTAGGCACATGTCCTTTAGGGACTTGCTTAATTTCAATCCTTAAAGAACTTTATTTAAGGGATTACACTTCATGACACATTTATAGCTTTATACCCAGCTATTTGTTCTGCTTGTACATCTTTATGGAATCGCTTATGGCAATATGCTCTGTGCATTTAATAACCCTTAAAGATAATATGTTGGTCTCCGTAAATGTACAATAAAAAGGTACGATTGCATCTGTAAACATAGAGAACCCCAACATTCATTGTTTCTAAAAGAAACATTGTGTCATATAAAGTGAGCATATTCCTCTTTATTCTGAACACCCATGTATAACCTTCAGGGTTAACAACTTTTTGGGTTCGTACTATAGGGTTAGTTTTTCACGTTCATTATCTTATATAATGGAATTGCCTCTTTCCATTTTGGCCAATGATTTTGTCGACATTTAATAATAGAACGTGGTTCCAATCAACACAACCTATTGAATAATAGTTACTATTCATGCATATGTCACTATTCATGTATACGATACTATTCATCAATTCATGAATACAGTTTTGTTCATGCATACAATATGTTTGCCAGTACAGTTACCATTCATGTGTACGGCACCTTTCATGTATACAGTTACTATTTAGAATACATTTTCCAGTACATTTACTATTCATGTGTACGACACTTTTCACATATACAGTACTGTTACATTATCAAGGAACTTCAGGTCCTTATTTACATGTCAATGATCAAGGATCTTTAGGTCCAATCACTTGTTTACAAATATAGTACTTGAGAGATTGTCAGCTCTCATATCATTATCATAATCAAGGATCTTTAGGTCCTGATGTAGTTGTATGATGACGATCAAGGAACTTCTGGTCATGATCTCTATATATTGTAAAACTCATCATATTACACAATTAATTCATAACATAAATTGCTATAAATTGCTTGTAAATAAATTGCTGGTATAGACGATAAACCTGTACCATACTTTAAATAAAAGTTAATGTGCAGTAAAATAAATTCATAAAGTAAATTGCTTGTTGTATGAATGTTAATTTCGCACCATACTTTAAATAATAAAGTTAATGTGTTTTAAAATAAATGTGCTTGTATGGGCACTTCTACTCCATACTTTAAAAAAAAAGTAAAGGAAGTTGTGTGGATGTTGAACCCTCGTATAAACCTACACCATACTGTAAATAAAGTAAATATGAGGATAAAACCACCACCGAATATATATATATATATACACACACATAAAGTATATTTTCATAACTCACAAAGGTTGTGAGAACCTGTGTTTAAAAAAAAATTATATAAATTATTATTTTAAAGAAATATTCGTACTACATATTAATTATTTATTAATATAAATTTTCTTTATTTAATATTTATTGTGAAAACCTATATGTTATTAAATCTTAAGCCTAGTATGAGATTATTCCTTTAGTTGAAAGATGACACCATTTTTGTTTTCTACGTGTAGAGACTTGGAATTAGTTTTAATCAAATCATCATTGCCATGCACCTTGCATGCTAGTAACAAGTGGTTTGTGAAATCATTGGCCAAAGGGGGATGAGTCACATTATTTCCTTACTTTTTTATCTTATCTTTTGGTGATTTAAAATATTATATATATAAATATTATGTTGGCGAGTCCTTACTTAGTTAAGATTTTGGTTCCTTACTATGTTAGGATTTTAGTTACTTACCATTTATCTAGTCATATTATAATTGAGATTTATTTCCTATTATAATTTATATTTATTTTCTATTGTAATTTGAATTTATTTCTTATTTTATTTAGGGTTGTACTCTCTATAAATACCTCCATATTGGAGAAGGATAATAATATGAGCGTATCTGAATATTTGCCCTACTTTGTTTGACTTGGTATCAGAGCCAGGTTCTCTTGTGACTTGTGCTTGCGTTCTCCTTGAAATTTATGTACTCTCCTCCCCTCCTCTTCAAGGGGGGGGAGGGGGAGTGAAAGTGATATGTTTATTGACCATCCCAATTACCTTGACGTATTCCCATGAAGATGTTGCTTATTTCTTGACTCCGACGACCCATTCTCTTCAAGGGAAGAGGAGGATTGAAAAGAAGTTGTGTTTGCGTGAATAAAGTTTATAGGGAAGAATTTATTGTTGCCATTACTGCTATTGCCACCGTTGATATTGTCGTTGTTACCGCCATTGATGTTACCATTGCCGCTATTGTTGCCATTGATGTTGACTTTGTTTGCTTCACTTTCCGTTGTTATGGTCATTGTCGATGATGTTGCTGTGTTTTGATCCGTCTCTACCCTAACCCTAAACACTACTTATTTCCGCTGCACTATACACCAACCTATAATCCTAGTATGCCGCTGCCTTCTACCTTGCTATTGTCGTCACCGCTTACCTTGCTATTGCCTTATCTACTACCGTGCTCACAAGGTTTCTGTGTTCTGCCTATTTACTGCCGGGCTCACAAGGCTTCTATGTTCTGCCTTATCTGTTGCTGTGCTCACATGGTTTATGTGTTCTGCCTTATCTGTTGCCGTGCTCATAGGGTTTCTGTGTTCTGCCTTATTTGCTGCCGTGCTCACAGGGCTTCTGTGTTCTGCCTTATCTGTTGCCGTGCTCACAAGGTTTGTGTTCTGCTTTATCTGATGTCGTGCTCACATGGTTTCTGTGTTTTGCCTTACCTATTGCCGTGCTCACATGATTTATGTGTTATGCTATGTGCCCTATTTTTTAGGGTTTGCTCTTCTGTTTCTCCTGCAAACTTTGCTTTAGTTTGTCACTTGTTTCACTCGTGGTTGACTAAAAGACCTTCTCTACAATTGGTGCTTCTTAAGTATGGTGTTTTGTGACTCGCTTGTCAAGTTGGGCCTGCGAAATATCTTTGCCCAACTTGAGGAGGAGTGTTGGCGAGTTCTTACTTAGTTAGGATTTTGGTTCCTTACTATGTTAGAATTTTAGTTACTTACCATTTATCTAGTCATATTATAATTGAGATTTATTTCATATTATAATTATATTTATTTTCTATTGTAATTTGAATTTATTTCCTATTTTATTTAGGGTTGTACTCTCTATAAATACCTCCATATTGGAGAAGGATAATAATATGAGCGTAAATGAATATTTGCCCTACTTTGTTTGACTTATTATTTGGTTGCATCCATAGCCTCTCTTATAAGTATAATCATTTCTTATTTCTATAATTCATTCCAATTCTTTAGAATAGATTTCTACCATGAAGTTAGAATAGATTTCTACCATGAAATAGTGTTTGAGAGAGAGAGAGAGAGAGAGAGAGAGAGAGAGAAACAAGATGAAGAACGTGTGTATTTGTCTTGCAATATTTCATATTTATCATGGTGAGTGGGTTATGTAATGTGTTCTAAAAGTTCTTATTTTGTGATAAATGTGAAAATCATGGATTTATTCTATTTACAAATCTCTCTCTATTTACAAGTCAAACATGTCTAATTTGTGCAAATTACACACAATATATATTATTTGGAGTTTTGTGAAGTACATAATATTTATGGAACACGAAAATTTCAGTTATGGAGTATCCGAAGAATAAATGTACTAGACGGGGACATAGGGTAGTGAGGCCGATAGGGGTCACATGCTGGGTACAATTTGTGAAGGATAACCAAGATATGAAGTAATGATGTGATACGATTTGGATTATATATCTTTTTATTATATTTTCTAGAGTGTGTAAAATGACATTGCTTGACTGACATATTATATAATCTACTCAATAAACGAGGGTTTGCTCATCCTTCACCTATTTTGTTTTTCAAATCACTTAGAGCATCTCCAACCGATATATTAAAAGTGCCATATAGACATTTAACGGCTAGAAATAACATTTTACATCACTCCAACTGAATTGTCAAAGCTGATGTGGAATCAAGGTTGGAGGTTCAACTATTACTTTTAACATTCCAAAAGCAAGATGTCAAATGAATATTTTATTATTTTTTAAAGACAGCTGGCTGTTACTTTCATTTATTATTTTCCTTTTTCATTTTTCCTTTTTTTCCTTCTTTATCTTGAATGATTTGACTGTTACAATAATTATTTATTTAACATATCGGGTGGAGTGTAAAACTGTGTGCATGTCAAATTGCCACATCAGCCATCAAATTTAAATTTGATGTTCGGTATTTGACATCTCCCTTGGAGATGCTCTTAGTACGAAATCAGAGAAGTTGGATTAGTTTAGAGTGATAAAGTTTTATTTATATCTTGTACACTTGTAAGATTATTATTATTATTATTATTTTATATCAGGGAAATGTATTGTAGCCAATTTTTTAGTCTTTTTATTTTATTTCATTCAATTCACTCACCCTGATTCAAGAATATTCTTTATTTCCGAATCTGGGCGTGACAAAGATTAACGTGGGCCTTATATGAAATAAGATGTATGCCTTAATATCATACTACAGTAATATTATACATGGAAATGGTCTTTGTGCATATGTGCATGATTCCAATCTTGTTGTTTTCTCACTTGCCACTAGTACCAACTCTCTTTATATAGTCAAGCATGAGGAAGTGGTATTGCATGAAGTCCACCCGACATATATTTATAGCACAAAAATGTCAACTTTATTATTTATTTTTGTTATCTAAAAAAGAGCTATAATATAAATTAATTTATTATATGATTATCATCTTCAAGTGCGAATAATGGATTGATAGATCAAATCAAATTCAAGGGATTATCATCTTCAAGCAGGATCCAAGAACAATAGCTTTGAAATTCTAAAATAGATGAGCCACATCAAAAAAACTCTCTCCAACAGCCTCTTCAACCTCAGTCATCAAAGTTACAACATCTTTCTCTCTTTTCAAGACTGATAAGTTGATTTTGACTCTTCAAACATTTAATTTTACTTTGGAAAAACAAAACCTACCTTGCAAAATTTAAAAACATGCATTTGTTCTTAGCTTATTTTTCTTTTCAAATTACCATATAAGTCAACAAACTTCAATTTAAAAAAATTTATTTGCTATTACTGTCGGGTTAGAGATGCTCTTAATAAGAATGTGAGGAAAAGATGAATGGTTTCATAAATTAAGTAGGTAGGTACAAAACAAATACAAACAAAAGATACTTACAAAAAATTAAAAAGACAAAACCACCCCCTAAAAATATATGAATAAAAATTTAAAAACTCTAGATAATTGGCGAACAGTCCACAGCTACATTTTGCCGCCGTATTAGTATATCGCCTCTTCCGTCTTCCTCACATAAACCCTCTACTTCTGTGCCTCTAAACCCCAAAACCCAAACGTCGCCGTTTTCTTCCATGGCTTCGATATCGGCCGACCTGGCCACCACCCTTCTCGGTCTCACTTCTCGCCACTCAACCCGGCTCCCGCGGGTCGGAGCCGCGGCTCTGTTCCCTCTCACATGGAGACCAAGAACTCCCCCTCACTCCCAAAGCCTACGCTACTCGACGTCGTCGTTTTGCCGAACACTCGTCGCCAAGCCTAAGCTCGGCTTCAGAAGGTTCACTGTGGCTGCGACCGCAACGACGTCGCAGAGCGAAAGCTCCGACGTTTTGACCCAGATTGTCCCCGATAATCGCATCCCCGCCACGATAATCACCGGCTTCTTGGGCTCCGGAAAGGTTAGATATTTTCTACTCATACTCTCTTTTGTGATTTAAGTCGCTAAATTTATGGCCGTTTTTATCCAAAAGTTTCATTGTTTGAATGCCACTATAATCTTCATTATTTACTGAAATGCACTTTTGAAATGAAACTGGCAGACGACATTGCTTAACCATATACTAACTGCGGAGCATGGGAAGCGAATTGCGGTGATTGAGAACGAGGTATGAGGCTGAATTTTGCACTTACTTCTTGTCGTTTCTTAATTTATGTTATGTATGTGAAGGTTTTGAGTTTTTTTGTGGATTTTGCAGTATGGTGAAATAGACATTGATGGTTCTTTGGTTGCTGCAAAAACCACTGGGGCAGAAGATATTGTTATGTTGAATAATGGGTGTCTTTGCTGCACTGTGAGGGGTGACCTTGTTCGTATGATTTCGGACTTGGTCCATAAGAAGAAAGGGAAGTTCGATCATATTGTAATAGAGACTACAGGTATGAAGTTTGTTTTGTTTTACTGCACTAAGTTTTGGTTCGTGGTTGTTTGTTTGCAACTTGTTTTGTAGGGTGTATGGAATCGTTAATTCATTGAATTTGCTTGGCCTTTCTTGTAACTATTGAACTTCATGTGAAATTTTTTTCTTCTTATTTATTTGTAGGATTGGCAAATCCAGCACCGATCATTCAAACATTTTATGCTGAGGATCAGGTTTTTAATGATGTCAAGTTGGATGGTGTTGTCACGTTAGTTGATGCTAAACATGCTGTTTTTCATCTGGATGAAGTTAAGCCAAAAGGAGTTGTCAATGAGGCTATAGAGCAGATTGCTTATGCTGACCGTATCATCGTGAATAAGGTACACATGATTATATGATCTATTTGTGTATCAGGTTTACTCTGCACTGCACTCAAATTGAATAGTTATGATTCTTGAAAACTGTAAATAGTGTGGCCCTAATATTTCAACATGAACGTTTTCTATGTGTTTGTGATGGTGTGGTTACTATTTTTTCTTACTTTTTGTTCTTTCCTTTTTAAGGCATCATTAATTGATAAAAAAACAGTTAACTTGAAAATTATTATAGAATATTGGATGAAGAATATATTCAAAATAGTTACAGTTTTTGCTGTAATGGCTGACTAGTGTACTTGTCCTTTTTTTTCCTAGACCGATCTTGTTGGCGAGCCAGAAATTGCTTCTTTGGTGCAACGAATAAGGGTTTGTACCTTGCTGCTTTTTTGTTTTCGTCATTCTTGTTAATGATTATTGTATTAAACGGAATGTGTTATCTTGAAAATAGAACATCAATGGTATGGCTCAACTGAAGCGGACAGAGTTTGGAAAAGTTAACCTGGATTATGTTCTTGGTATTGGAGGATTTGATTTGGAGAGGTAGTTTTTTACACCCATTTCATTGTTGTTGGGTTTAGACAATTCTGACCTTGCTGATGGTTGTTGATTTCTTGTTGTTGCTTATTGGACATTACTCCCATTTATTTAAAATTAGGTTCTTAATGATGATTAATGGCTTTAAATGTTGTGCACAATTTGCATGTGAAAAGAAAGGTGGATAGTATCATAGTATAAGTTTTGAATCATTTAACTATTTCTAACAAGATCATTGAATTATTTGTGTCCTTGTGTTTGTCTAAATAGAGGAACATTGAGGGGGACTTGTGAATCTGTTTGTAAAAATTAGTTTACAAACAGATTCGTGAGCCCATTGGAGTTATATATGAAATATCTATTTCCTTTTCTTTAGATTTTTTGTGTGTATGCTTTGTTCTAATCTCCTTTTGTATACTGCTTCAAACACGTGTTGTTTACCATTGGTGCTGATTAATAAATGATACACTTATAAATGAGAATTATTTTGGGAGCCCATGCTCCCTCAGTGTGTTAATTTTCTTTGTTCTTCTGTGATATTGCTCTGTTATTAAATTGATCTATAATGTGCAGAACATGCTTCCATGCTTCATAATTTCACACCTTCTGTTTTGGAATCTTGATATCATTTCCTAATCTTGGCTGTAATCTTGCCAGGATAGAGAGTGCTATTAACGCTGAAGGTGAAAAGGAAGATCATGATCATCACCATGATCACCATCATGATGAGAAACATGACCACAAGCACGGTAAATCCTTCTGATCATTGAAACACATACTCATCATGACATGTTGCTTCTCTGTGAAAGATCCGCTGTTCTTCTTCCTACACATTGAATATGTTAATGATGGCTTTGTGGGTACTATTGTTTATCTGTTGTCAAATTAAAACTGAATAGTCTACAAAATCTGTTTGTTGCACACAAACAAATGCATTTGTGGAATCTTGGGTCCCAGAGGGTGGTGTGCTTGGCGTTTGAAAACAAACCATTGTTACGTATGGGTGAGAATTATTGCAGGTGTGGCGGATTTAACTTTTTAGCTATTAAGTTATTGAATGATCAGATGTAAGCTTACTACAGGCATATAGATCTTGCAAAATAACAACTAAGCTTCAGAACATATGGATCTAAAGGGAGGGCATACAGTGGGTCCAGTTATATAGCCCATAGATATATGATATCGTAAGAACAAAATAAGATATCTGCTCTGCCAAAACATAGTTTTCTTCTCATTTTCATTTACTCTGGGTTTAGTTTAATATTGTCTTTGAGGTTTCAGTATTCCCATGGTTTAGAAAATCATTGCTACCATTTTCTGTGGTGTGGACAAAGGGAATGTGTAAAAGCTTGTATGCTTCCCTTGCCCTTTCGTTTCCATTATTCATATGCATTTAATTTCATGTGAGGTTTTCAGTGTGTAATATAAGTCCTACTTGCAACTTGGAGGCAAATGGTTCATGTGAGGGAAAAAGTATTGCAGTGTACTTCTCGGGGGCAAGAAGTAAAGCAAGAAGCGTGAGTAGGTTCAAGTTCTGGAGAAGTGATTATTAAGTGTTCTTCTTTGTATTCAGTTTTGCTGCAATGGGTGGAAAAGATTGAAACTTTAACTGCAAGCAGCATGGTGGACAAAAGTGTCCTCCAAATTGCGATGTTGTAGCTCTTGTTAAAAAATTTCCATTGCCATCCCTGGATCTGTGGGTGCTGTGGTTTCAGTCCTTCTGAAAGTGGCACTAAGAAAGGTGGCAGGGATAGCTCCCTGTCATTTTTTTACTGTTTGTTTATGGCCTTGTGTTGTGTGTAAGAAAAGTCGTGGCCAGGTCGGCCAATAGCTTTTACTGGACTGCCTTAACCACTTGACATTGCTACTATTTTTTTATATAGAATTATGAACTGATATCCTTACATTTGGCACTGATATGCAGAACATCATGATGATCACCACACCCATGACCATGTTCATGATCCTGGCGTTTCTTCTGTCAGCATAGTTTGTGAAGGGAACTTAGATCTTGAAAAGGTTGGATCTCTACTTTGTTGTAGTTTATTTGCCATCATATATGATATTTGGCCTTATGATTTTAGTAGTACCTGTGGACTTTTTTATTGACCTGTTGCTGTGAATGACACAAGTACACATTTTATGGCCAGTTACAGGAATTTTGTAATTTAGATTCTTTGTCTGGAATGTATAAAAGAAAACCTAACAAAGATTGTAATGATGTTGTCTCAATATGAAATATATACAAGAAAACCTGACAAAGATTGTACTGATGTTGTCATAATTTCTTTCAGGCTAACATATGGCTCGGTACACTGTTGTTGGAACGGAGCGAGGACATATATCGTATGAAAGGTCTCCTATCTGTTCAGGGAATGAATGAGAGATTTGTCTTCCAGGTGAGTTAAATCCTGAAAGTGTTAATTATAATGAACCAAATTATTTTACTTAAGACTTGGATATTTGAGATAATGGGTATGAGATCTTCTTGTATAAGAATGTCCGTTTCTCTATTTGAAATTTGGCTGTGAGGATATTGAAGTTGGAATTTCTGAGCATTGCTGTTTTCGTTGGCTACATAAATTATTTATCTTCTTGCTCGATCTAGGGTCATGTTTCCTGTCAATTTTGAAGCTATATCTTGCTTGTTTTCTTCTCTGTTTTTTCAAAGCAATGGGTGATCCTTGTATTTGTCTTAGAGTCTTATATGATGCTTTACCTTCAATGCCTTATTAGTGGTCAATGCAAAGGAATAACCAAGTAGAATGGGATTTTATCGTGGAACGGTTCAATTTAAGTGAGGGGAGAGAAACTTGCTACTAATGTACATTGACATTTTTTTTATGTACTGGATTTTGTTAATCATCTCTAGTCATTTGATATTCTTCTTGCATGTCAAGTTATGGGTTGGTGATGTTGCTGATAAAGGAGTTAGAAATATAGTTCCAAGCAATTTTAGTCAATGATTTTTGTGTTGGTACTGTATATTTAGTGATCATCTTTTTGTTGTGCAACAGGGAGTTCATGATATATTCCAAGGCTCACCTGATCGGCTGTGGGGCCCCAACGAGCCAAGAACAAACAAGATTGTTTTCATAGGGAAGAACTTGGATGCACAAGAGTTAGAAAAGGGTTTTAAAGGCTGTTTACTATGATTACTTACAATTCTCATACTTCTATTTCTCCAACCCCCCCAACCCCTATTTTTTCTATTAAAATTTGAACGAGGGATGTTTTAACATTATGATGTACATGTGGTGTCTTCGGTTATAGTGAACGAGTCGTGAGAATCAATCAAATATTTGATTTTTTTCCTCTTCATTGACCAACATTGATTTGGTGGGTTGTTCTAGCCTTCATAACCATGCTCATAAATGCCGCCTTGGCAACAAGACATATATTCCAGTTCATGTTATCAGTCAGAACCTTGTTTCTCTTAAATACTTCTCATTCATATATAACTGAGAAATCTTCTTTGTATTGATATTGTATCGATATCATCGAAAAAGTTGATCTCTGATCTGACTCATTCTGAAGAGCTTCCATGTTTGAGTCGCCAGTCTCCAAGATAAAAAAAAATTTATTTTCTAAATTTTCGCATAATTTTCATCCTCTCTCTTGAAAGTTTAATAAATTGATATTTTCTTTGACCTTTGATATTTTGGGTTCCAATAACCACACCTCACCCCAAAATAAAAATAAAGGTTGCACCCTTTTCAAACACTTCAGCACTCATACGCTGAATAACACCACCACTATGACACGTATACAAAGCAAAGGATTACATAAGAGGCAGATAGAAAATAAACCTAGCAAAGGATTACATGAGTTGGTGCTGAAACTGCTAGTTAGTAACTGCCGATAAACTGCCCACGCATGACATCCGCCCAAGCCTGACTCACCGAGCTTGCTGCGCATGCCGGGCCATGCCTTGTCAAACTTGTGTGCAGCGCCAACGCGGCCTTGTCTCGCATCCGTCTTGGCATAGTGCAAGGCAATCACCACATCTCAGACTGTCATGGTCTTAGCTGTCCAACAATGGCCAAAGTGTAACATGTTAGCACAAGTAACTACTGCGACGAGGCTTCGACCATTACAGTTTACTCCTTGAGAAAATATTGCGAATCAATCTTAATCTTGATGTATGCATTACAGTTTCCTTGTGTATTTTTTTTCCTTCCCACTCTTCCCAATCCCGAACTCTGTCGAAGCTGAGTTGTTTCAATTTTGGGAATAAAATAGTAGGTGAGTGTGATGGTGTTTGAGTTTCTTCTATTCCCAAAAATTCAACTCCAACCTTTTTCAGACTAGGCATATCATTTATTCTCAAATTTTCAAGGGACGGCAGTTTCCCAAGAGGAGGCAAAACTTCACAATATCTCCATCCATGAAGAGTAAGGCTTCTCAAACTGTGTAAAGAGATCGACTTGGGAGACAAGGTGCTAGAGTAATTACAAATGTCTAAACTTTTCAATTTCTGAGGTCCTTCTAAGACATTCAGAATTTCAACATCACTTTTCCTATCCCCCTCCGCATCATCTCCATTCCAAAAATCCAGTCTCAAATGAAGGATGTGTTTTTTATTCCACAGTTGTGCTTTCTTAACCTCACTTGCATCTGTCAGGTTCCCAAGCTCGCTTATAAAAAGGCTGCCCTCGAGCTTGTCCAGCAGTCTTAGATCACCTAACTTGAACGTGTCATTCTTGTCATCACCACCACATAAATGAAACCCGTCTAATGCTCGTAGACTTGTTAATCTCCCAATCCCTTTTGGCAAGTACTTTAGCTCATCACAGCACATAACATGGAGATGCTTTAGTTTAATCAGTTTCTCCATGGCCTTGGGCAGTGTTGCAAGTTGCCGGCAAAAATCCAGGCACAAGTTTTGCAGATTGTATAAACTGCACATAGTGTTCGGTAATTCCACTAAAGGATAATTACGAGACAAATCAACATACCTCAAGTGTATCAATTCACCAATCTCCTTTGGAAGTTCCGCGATTATGTTATAACTCAAATTTAATGTCCTAAGGGCTTTCAATTGCAAAATAAAATCTGGGTCTAAAGTACTGATTCTTGAACCAAAAGTTGTGAGGGTACGCATGCTTTTGCAAATTTCAGATGAAACTGGAGCTAATAATGAAGTGTGAGATCCATATGGATCCTCGAGTGCAATTAATGTCAAATGGCGGACTTTATAACCTGGTAGCTCAATTCTTTTGTTAGCATCCTTAACTTCTATAACAAAAGCTACTTTCTTGGTAAGAAACTGCGCAAAGTCATGCACGATATCATGCATTTTGAATCTAACATTCCCGAAATCATCTTCTGCAAAATCTTGAAAAAAACACTGCATTACCAAGTTATTGAAATAATTTTGAGCAACAATTTCTTTGTTTTTGTCTTCTTCCAAATTAAGATAATCTTGTGACATCCACAACTCAATCAAATGTTTTTTTTTAACACATAATCTTTTGGAAAATAACACAATACAAAAGACAATTTCTAATTGCCAAGGCCAAATCATAATAACTTAGTAATAACGGTTGAAAAACTTCTCGTTCAATCTCTTCTGGTTCCCATATCTTGCTATGCAAAACATCTTCCCATTCTTCTCTTGTTTTCTTAAAGCGCATGAGACTACCTAGAGTCTTTGCCGCAAGGGGTAAACCCTTACACTTTTTTACATCTTTACCAATAGCTTCAAACACATTAGACTCATCTTCTCCCCTATCAAAACATGCAATGTGATGGAATAATGACCAACAATATGGTTCACTCAATTCGTTCAAACGGATCATGTCACTCTCTGCTCCCATCATTATAGCAACCCCTTCTTTGCGCGTGGTCACCAATATTTTACTACCTGTAGAACCATTCTGCAATGGTAACTTTAATTGCTCCCACTCTCTATGATCTTGGGTCCACATGTCATCTAGGACAAGGAGAAACTTCTTACCCTCAACAGATTTAGACATACATTGCAAGAAAGCTTCCAACCCATCTGAGTTTGGGGTACCATTACCATCAATGATAGCTTTTGCAATCTTGAAAGTATCAAAAGGCTCTGAAACACAGACCCATATTCTTTTTTCAAAATGAGCTTTAATACTTTCATCATTATAAACCAGTTGGGCAAGAGTTGTCTTTCCAATTCCTCCCATCCCTACAATAGGGATAACAAGGGGATGACACCCTTTCACACTACTCTCGCTCAACTTGCTTACAATAAATTCTTTTTCATTTTCTCGACCAAATGTTTTAGAAATATCGACAAAGGATGAACTTTCTCGTCGATGTTCAATGCCCTTTTCTGTGGTCTGAAAGTTATATGTTTGCCTTTCTATAGCAATCTCATTCAACCTATCATTCAGGTCTTTTATCTTAAGAGCAATGTCACGACAAGAATTACCCGACTGACTTGGTTAAAACAAAAGCAATGACAGGGAATGGGGAAGCATACCTTCATCTTGGCAACAAGAGCATCTTTACCTTCTTCTTCTTCTTCTTCTTCCTCTTCTTGTTTCTCAACTTGTTGTCTTAGAAATTCAGTGTTCCACTCATCCAGCACGTCGTCCATCTCGTATGACACATCTTTCAGCTTCTCCAACCAATCTCTCGAGGTGGCTTCCTTCACTTGCCTCTTCTCCGCATCCTCAAGCACTGCTAATTGTCGTAGCAGCACGGGAATGAGTGCATCAGCCATTGTTGGGGTCAGAAATTGGTTGAAAATGGAAGACGAAAGACAAGAGATGTCTGAAGCAAGAAAATGAATGTGGAAAGGCTTTGTTATCACCTTTTCTCTACCCAGTTTATATATTACACTTGCTACCTTGTCCAAGGTCCACTCGAAGTTTTTACTCCAGCAACAACATAAAAAGGAGAAAAAAAAGGTCCAAGTCCAAGTCGATCAGACAGGGACACCCTATCTTTTGTGATGGCTCCAGCAACTTGAGCCCAATTATCATAACATTTGTTTCGAGCAGCCTTTGTTTCACAAGTTACGTAATTATCTGATATCCCAAATACACGTTTCTTGACCTCACCATTTTATACACGGAAAGATATATTAAACATGACAAAGAGCTTCATTCATGGATGTGTTAATCATAGACTTTTTCCCATTTTTGTAAATTCATAGAGCTACCTTCACCGAATCACCCACAACAGAAATTTTCATTCATCTGCCTTCATTCCGATATGCATAAGACATGGATTCTTTTTTTTTTTTTTTTTTTTTTTTTTTTTTTTTTTTGGTCATTATGGTCATGAATGATGAAGAGCACACCCAAGTGTTTGGAACGTCGCGTACTTATGAGGAGGATGCTTAGGAAAGACATTGTTTACCATTTTTTTTTGTTCTTTGAGGTACAACTTTGTTAACCAGTTAAATAATTATCTCCATTAATGTGCCAAATGTATAAATAATTAACTCTAACTTGGTTGACCAGTTTACCCCTATACCGTAGTCTAACATGCAAAATTCGACCACCGAAAAAAAAAACCTTGCCAACTTTGTCTTTGTCAAGAACCTGACAAGTACAGGCTACCAACATAGAGATAACGCATGACAGGCCATAGATCAAAGAGTTTTGTTCACTTTTTAAATTCATAGAGGAACCTTCACCTAAACATGTAAGTCTGCTCAAAGGCGCGTTTTGCTGACATTGTCCCTCCGGGAAAGTATTTGACATTGTAATATACCATATAAAATTTTAGGCCTGGCTTTTCCTTGATTAAGACCTTGTATCTGCATCAACTCCTCAGAAAAGTGTTATCCCAACCTATCCCTGTAGCAGCTTCCGTTCCTTGTTCTACATTCATTTTCTAATTAAGCTTGTCCTGCCTGCCTTCAGATAAGGTCCAACTTGTGTCCATGAGTTGTGTTCATGTCGTGTCGTGCCGTGTATTTGTTATTCTTGTTGAAAACTAGTCCTCTCACAGCTCAGTGGTAGGGAGTGCTAATCATAGACTTATTTTTTTTCCCATTTTTTTTTAATTCATAGAGCTACCTGCTTTTTAAATTCTTCCAGTGTACCCATCAATCAATTAAAAAGGAACCTCTACGAAAATTTTAGGAGGGGCAAGATTCCTTGTATAACCTTTCTATGTGGTTCAAGCCAAGTCAATACGACAATGAGAAAAGTTAGGGAGCCAAGCCCCCACTCCGGCCTTGTAGCAGCTTCATTTCTTGTGATCTGCCTTCGTTCGGATATGCATATGGACATGGTTAACTTCTGTGAGTTTTTTTTTTTTGTTTTTTTTTTTTTGTTTTTTGGTTATGGGGATTCTATGATGAAGAGATACATAGGAAAACTTTGTTTACCCCTTTTTTTAGGTACAGGCAACCAACTTGTCTCTCTAGACCTTACATATTTATAGGCTACCAACACATAGAGATGATGCATGACACGCCATAGGTCAAACACTTCTTCACATTTTGTAATTTCATAAAGACACCTGCTCCAATACATAAAAGCCAAATATCTGCTCAGATGTGCATTTTTCTTTTTAAATTCTAGTCATGGCCATACATGTAGTAATTGTATATTGACATTGTCACTCCAAAAAAGTAATTGTATGATATTGTAATATAAAATTTTTGGGCCGGCCAATTCCTCGATTAAGACCTTTTATGTGCATCAACTCATCAGAAAAGTGAGAAATTCAGGGGCATCGGCGCTGCCTTCCTTCACATTAGGAGGGGGAAAAGGTGGGGACAAGGTATCCCGACTTGTGTTAATGAGTCTTGTTCGTTTCGTTTCATTTTTTCTTCGTGTTGAAAGCTAGTCCAATCACAGCTCATTGGTCCGGGAGCAGGCCAAAACAAATGAGCCAACAGAAGGGGCTTAGGAGAAGATGGCATGAACTTCCAGTCCTATTCTGTTTCCGGGTAGAGCATCCAAATCAGCTTCCATGCCATGAAAAGCTTCAGCCGCTGAAATAACAAAATCCCATGCCTATGACATGGACATTCGATATCACAACCTAGTAACATTTGAATTTCATAACCAGCAACTTTAAATTTGAGCCTTTAAACTGCATCATAGGAATAAGATTCCAGAGGATACTGAAAACCAGTTACCTGGCTTAGGTAAGAGCCTCATCAATCAGTCAAATGTTTGCCAGAATGCTGGACCAGCTTCCTTGATGATGTTGCCACACTTGAAAATCTTACTTAGGATCTGTTAATCAAAATGCAAATAATTGGTTTTTCCTGCTTGGTTCAATCATAATATGACAGTTCAGCAAACTAGTAACCAACAGACTACTGAAAATGATTAAATATGGTAATCAAGTATATCAATACACAAATAAGAGCTTAGTTTTTTTACCAGAAGGAGTGAAAGGGGATTGGCAGAGCACCTATGGAAATGCAGCTAAGATGACTTGTAATACACGACATCCTATTCTTGTGCAATCCCATCATCATCCTCATCAGATTCAGAACTATCAGTTTCCTCTGTTTCATCCTCTTGCTGGATCCAGACTCCGTCTTCTCGAACACTCTTATAATTAATTTCGATGTTTGGGATGTGACAAATCTTGAGACGCTCCTCTCCTCTGCTTTCTTGGCAACCGCGTTCAAGAAATATAGAGCATTTATAGATAGTCAAATCGCGCAGTGGCGTCTTTCGCAGGAAGACGGGCAGTGTTCGTAGGCTGTCTGCCTTAAGAATATCCAATGAAGAAAGGCATGGCATTATTCTAACTTCAGAATCCTCTTCCACCGACCCTCCCACTCCTTCCCATTCTTCCCAACTACACATTCCAGAGAAGCTGAGCTTTTTCAATTTTGGGAATGAAACAGTTGGTGAGGATGATTTTAACAATGCTGAAGTTTCTTCTATTCCCAAAAATTCAACTCCAACTTTTCTCACACTAGGCATATCATCTATGCTCAGTGTTTGAAGGGACGGTAATTTCCCAAGAGGAGGCAAAAAATCACAATTTTTCCAAGAACGAAGAATAAGGGTTCTCAAATTAGGTAGAGAAATCATCCAGTTGGGAGAGCTGAAGGTGCCGCCACAATAACAACTAATGCATAAAAATTCCAAACTTTGAGGTGGTTCTAAGAAACTCAGCATTTCTCCATCTCTTTCTCCTTGTCCTCGCTTATCTCCATTCCAAAAATCTAGTTCCAAATGAAGGATGTGTCTTTTATTCACTAATTGTGCTTTCTCAGCCTCACTAGCTTCTCTCACATTCCCCAGCCCTTTGATAAAAAGGCTACCCTGAAGCTTGTCCAAGATTCCCAGATCACCTAACTGGAGTGTTTCACTGTTGTCAGCAGCACATACACTAAAACCATCTAATACCTGCAGACTTCTTAATCTCCCAATCCCTTTTGGCAAGTACTTCAACTTGTAACAGTTCTTAATATGAAGATGCTTTAAGTTAATCAGCTTCCCTATGGCCTTAGGTAGTTTTGCAAGGTGCCTGCACCCAGTGAGGCGCAAGGTCTGTAGATTGTATAAATTACACAGAGTGTCTGGTAATTCCTTCAAATGATTATTACCAGACAAATCAATGTACCTCAAATGTATCAACTCGCCAATCTCCTTTGGAAGTTCATTGATTTTGTTACCACTCAAATTTAAAGTCCTAAGACATTTCAACTGCAAAATGAGATCTCGGTCTAAGGTAGTGATTCTTGAATTGAAACATGACAGGGTGCGCAGAACTTTGCAATGGTCAAATGAAAGAGGAGGAACAGGACATTTAAATCGATCATCGGATGCAAGGATTAAGGTCAAATGGCGGAACTTATCACTTGGTAGCTCAATTCTCTTGTTAGCATCCTTAACCTCCATTATGTAACATTCCTCTCGGTTAAGAAACTGCACAAAGTCATGCACAATATCATGCATTTTGAAGGTAATATTGCCGTCGTCATCTTCCTTAAAATCTTGAAACCACGACCGCATTACTAAGTTATTGAAACAATTTTCACCTACTATTTCCTTTTCTTGGTTTCTTCCCAAACTAAGATAATCTTGTGACATCCACAACTCAATCAAATTAGCTTTATTGAACTCATAATCTTTTGGAAAAATAACACAATACAAAAGACAACGTTTGACCCCCAACGCCAAATCATAATAACTTAGCAATAACGGTTGAAAAACTTATTGTTCAACCTCTTCAAGTTCCCATATCTCACTGTGCAAGACATCTTGCCATTCTTTCTTAGTTTTCTTAAAGCGCATGAGACTACCTAAAGCCTTTGCAGCAAGAGGCAAACCCTTACACTTTTTGACAATTTCCTTACCAATAGCTTCAAACACATTAGATTCATCTTCTTCCTTGTCAAAGAATGCAAGGTGATAAAATAAGTACCAACATGATTCTTCACTCAATTGCTTCAAATGGATCATGTGGCTCATCTTTGCTCCCATCATAATAGCAACTTCCTCTTTTCGTGTGGTCACCAGTATTCTACTACCCATAGCACCTTTCAGCAAAGGTAACTTTAATTGTTCCCACTTTCTGTGGTCTTGAGTCCACACATCATCTAGGACAAGGAGGAACTTTTTCCCTTCTATAGATTTTGACATACATTGCAAGAAAGCTTCCAATTCATCTGAGTTTGGGGTTCCATTACCATCAATGATGGCCTTGGCAATCTTTATCTCATCAAAAGGATCAGAGACACAAACCCATATTCTCCTTTCGAAATGCGCTTTTACATTTTCATCATTATAGGCTAGTTGTGCAAGAGTTGTCTTTCCCATTCCTCCCATCCCCACAATGGGGATAACAAGGGGACCCCTTACAATTTCTTGACTACTCTCACTCAACAACTTGCTTACTATAATATCTTTTTCATTTTCTCGGCCAAATGTCTTAGATATATCAACAAACGATGAACTTTTTTGCCGTTCAGGTTGTTCAACTCTTCCTTCTGTGTGTCGAAACTTATATGCTTTTCGTTCTTCAGCAATCTCAGTCAACTTGTTATTCAGATCTTTTAGCTTAAGCTTAATGTCGCGACGACAAATTACTCGACTGACAAGGCCAAAACAAAAGCAATCGAAGGGAATAAACAAACATACCTTCTTCTTGGTAACAAGAAGAGTTATATCACCTCCTTTTTCTTGGTTGTCAACTTGTTGCATCAAAATTTTAGTGTTCCACTCGTCCAGCACGTCGTCCATCTCGTACGATACATCTGTCAGCTTATCCAACCAATCTCTCACAACGGCTTCCTTCACTTGCCTCTTCTCTGCATCATCGAGAACGGCTTGAATAGCTTTGAGATTGCTGGTGATTTTTGCAACTTCTTTCTTAACATCCAAGACCAACTTCACCTCTTTCTCTATTTGCTGATATGTTGTTGAAGCCAATTGTTGTAAAACCACATAAACGAGTGCATCAGCCATTGTTGGTGTAGGAAATTGGCCCTTGATAATAGAAAAACAAATTCAAGAGATGTATGATGGAGTAAGAAATGCAGAATGGTTTGTGTGTTATAGCCTTGGTGTGCAGAGCAAAACTCCCAAGTCAATGACTCCAACGCAACATAAAAAATGAAACTTTAAATACTCTAAAGTCCGTTAATTTTTTTTTTTTGGTCGAAAAAGTCCATTAAGTTAGGTATCCTGATAACCAACTTCAACCCAATTAGACTGGGACACTCCATCTAATTGAGCCAAAGATCCCAATTTGTAGAATATTAATTTTTAAGCCACAAATTTCAACCCGACTTTGCTTACCTTTTAAATAATTAATGAACTTTTTTTACACTCCATCTACTTGTCTGGCTTTACCCTATTTTTCGAAAAATATTAATAAAAAATAAATCATTTTTAAAATTTTAAATCAAATTAAATATTAAAAACATAAATATATTAAAAATAATTTGAAACTTAAAATCCAAAAAAAAATGTAAAGAATTTAAAAAAAAAAAGAAGAAGATTAAAACAAAAACTGCATCCCCACTCCTACCCCTCCCCCTCTGCCTTGTCCTCCTTCTCTCTCTCTCTCTTAGTTGCGACCCAAACCTCAGCCCCCCTCCCCGACCCACTCTGAGCCCCTCTCTCCCTCCCTCTCCCCTTCTCTCTCTCTCTACTAATGGTCCCTATGTTTTTTTTCTCCCCAACCCCCCCTTTCTGATCCACTCTATGCCTCTCTCTCTCTCTCTCCCTCTCTCTCTCATGGGAAATGGTCTCTCTAATTTTTTTTCTCCCCAACTACCCAAACCACCCTCACCGCCACTAGCTACCCACCCCCGAGCCTTACCCATCTCCCAAACATTAGAAATATATTAACGTTTTTAATATTTAATCTAATTTAAATTTTTAATTAATATTTTTGGAAAATGAGGTTAGTGCAGAGCGGGCCTTCGAGGAGCCTTGGCCATAGGCCTCCAATTAAGGGGCCTCAAATTTTTATATATTATATATATATATATACTATTGTCCAATTTATTTATAATAAAAAAAACAGAAACATGCGATTAAATTACATGTTTACGTATCAGTAATGGGTATGGAAGGAAAGTGAATGATTTCCATTCCTGACTTCTCTTGCGTTTACTTACAATCATGAATGAAAAAATAAGTGGGTCCCACCTCAAAATCCGTAATCACATTCCCTCAAAACTAGGAATCATATCAACTAGGGGAGAGTAGTCGATACGATTCTCATTCCTGTTTTCTCTTAATAACTTCCAAAAATACCCTTATCACTTTACCATAATTCTAAAATTAATTTGGATTATGATTCATGCAAATTAGTAAACAATAACAATGGGAATCAATCCCATTCCAATGCTAATTCCATATGTTTAGTAAACAGCTTAATGGGAATGATTCTTCCCATACCGATTCAGTAGTTCTCCGATTCCTAAATTCTTTGATTCCTTAGTTTCTCCATTACTGATACGTAAACATGCTAGGTTTCTTTGTTTCCTCTTCCCATTAGGTTTTTTCGTTTCCTACACAGAAACAGAAACAATATGTGCTTGAGGAATGCGATTCCTCTCCTAGTTAGTTTCTCCATAGAAGAACTCTATTTAATCCACCCATCTCTTAATAATCCACCACCTTATTTTTCTCCATTTTCCTCATCTCTCTTCAATCCATCCATTATTTTCAGTTTCTCTCATCCTTTTTTTCTCATATCATATTGTGACCCAAAGAATCAATCTCACACTAAAAAGCTCACAAATTGTCTTTGAAATTGATGGTGACCAAGAGATGAGGAACATGAGAAATTGAAAAGGTAATCATGTTTATAATTTTTTTTTATTTGTTCCTATCCATCAAACTATTTTTTCAATTTCCAGATTATACACAGACAATGACTTTGTTGTTAAGAGACTTAGACTCTGCTTTATAATTGACCAGGTAGGATTACACTATATAATTGTTTATCGTAAAATCATTATTCACGTGCTCTATGCGGTATGTAAAATCATTTTTTATTTGTTGTTTTTTCGCAATTGTGAACTAAGGGAAGGGGCCTCATTTAGTTTATCGCCTAAGGCCAACCAAAAGTTAGGGCCGGCCCTGGGCAAGTGAGACAAGTATGTGTGAAAAATAGGGTACAGTGAAACAAAATGAGTTTCAGGGGGCAAAATGAGACTCAAATACACTTTTAGGGGGTATATAAAAAATTAATCCAAGACTTTTAGCCACTTGAGTGGGTTGAGTGTTGCGAGTGGGTTGAGTGTTGCTAATTAAAAGGGTCCAAGCGTTGCTCAAGGCTGCTCGAGTGGTTATATTTCTTTTTATTTTATTTTTTTTGAGAGAAAAACGATAATTGTATTCATAAATTAGGCACAAAGACCATCAACCACAAGGGCAAATACAAATGCCCATAAAAGGGTGATACAAATATAGAAGCATAGTAACCACATATGGTTAATCCAGATACATGCCACAAAAAACCCAGAGAAATTTTGGCATAAAAGCTGCATGGTTGAACAAACCAGACATGAATCACAGCGCCAAAATATACCAATACAACTACAACTTTTAACTCTCATAAGTACATAATACAAGTAGAGACTAGAAAACAATCAAATACCCAACTCACAAGGAGTTGATGCAATTATTACAAAATAAGAAAACTACAAACAAACAACCAAAAACCAACAGAGCCACTACCATCATTGTTGCCACCGCCATCACAGACTGTTAAGTGTAAAGATTATGTTAGTTCAACAGAGACAATTCCCTGAGTATCAGGGCTATTACACTTGTTTTAATTATATTGTGGATATGGATGAACTAGTGAGCTATAAGGTTGCATGTTCCTCTTCTCATTGGCAGAAGGCAATGCAAGAAGAAATTGATGCTTTGCATATGCAAGGCACCTGGCTTCTTGTTCCTAATCCTAATAACAAGAACATAGTAGGTAGCAAATGTATTTTTAAAATTAAAAAGAATTTGATGGTTTAGTTGCTAGACACAAGGCTCAACTAGTAGCTCAAGGCTTTAGTCAAGAGCCTGGATTCAACTTTGGAAAGAATTTTAGTCATGTGGTCAAGCATACCACAGTGAGACTTATCTTGAGCATTACTGCAATGAATAAATGGAAATTGAGGCATCTAGATGTCAAAAATGCATTTTTGCATGATGACCTTGAGGAGGAAGTCTACATGCGTCAACCACAAGGTTTTGAGGATTCAATTCATCCTAATTTTGTTTGCAAGCTTCAAAAATCTCTATATGGCTTGAAACAGGCTCTAAGGGCATGGAATGCCAAATTCACTGGTTACTTACTAGCTATAGGTTTTAAGTCCTCACACTCCGATCCCAGACTGTTTATGAAGCATGATGGTGTTGGAAAAACAAAATTAGTATATTAACAATATATATATATTTTTAAACCAACAAAATTGTATTTATAACAAACTGTAATTCAAAATACAGTAAACAAATAATAAATGAAATTGACTTGGATTCGAGATAGAGGCTTGCATATTTGATGCAATGTCCTTAAGACAGTAATTTCACTCCTTCTCGGTGCTTGAAGTTTTATAGGTGATTGCTTCTCAGGATTCAACTATATGTATTCTAAGCCCTAGTACTAGGACTTAGAATCTGGCAAACTTTGTTTGTTTTCCTTTCAGACAATGTGAAATGCTTGTAGAATGCTTTTTTTTTCTGTGTTTTACGAATGAGGCTATGTTTGATTTAAATAAACTTCTGAAATCTTATCAGAAGAGTCACAACTGTTAAAAAACAGTTAATTAAACTAATCCGAATTAATAAAAATTATTATTTTAAAACTAAAAATTTAAATATGAAAATTTATCAGAAGAGTTACAATTAAATACTATATATTATAGTGCTTTTGTTATATGTCGAATTTAAATATGAAAGTGCCCATATTTTTACCCTCAATGCCCAAATCGATTTTGAAGCCCAATTGGCTTCCATTTGGCCCAACTTCTATTTACTAAGTGTGGGACTTCCACACTTATAAAGACCTTACTCTTTTTTCTTTCTACCAATGTGGGATAAATGCCCTTGAATTCATTCAAACTTCCAACATCTGGCACATATATTGTAGTGCTTTTGTTATATGTCGATGATATCATTCTCACGGGATCAAATGATGTGTTGGTTCAGCATGTGGTTGATGATCTCAGTTCTGTTTTTGAATTGAAAGATATGGGAAAACTAACCTACTTCTTAGGGTTACAAATTTCATATAGTGTAGTAAGAGTTATTTTTGTCAATCGAGTTAAATATGCCAAAGACTTATTGAAAAGAGCTGGTATGAGTACGTGTCGAGCTTGTCCTACTCCTTGCAAGCCTCACACTCAGGTCTCAAAGACAGAAGGTGAACCTTTATCGGATCCTATAGTCTATAAAAGTATTTGTTTACCCCGAAAAGGACTCGCCGACAATTCGCTTGGGGTTTGGCCTTGGAGTTTGCTTTTTGCAATTGCGAAGGCGTGCCACTGTTGGTAGTGAAAAACTCCAACATACTAAAAATGGTAAGACTGGAAAATGCGCACCGATATTGACTTTAATCAATCGATTGTGGATTGGGCGGGGAACTGACCCAATACAAGGTTCTTTTCTATGCCTCAATTAAGAGGACTTCAACATTCATCTAACGCAAAAATGGTAACTGACAGAAGCTAAAATTGAACGATAATGGAAATGACATAAGTTTATCGGAATATTTATCTATTCAGAAAACTTGAAAGAAAAAGGAAGTACATAAACAACACAACCTGAAGATTTCTCTATTCATACCTGGTACATAAATTAAAATGGAGATTGAAGATTTCTCTATTCAATCTTGTACAAGAAAAAATCATACCAAGAGTTGGCAGAGCAAGATAAAGAAAATTCCTCAGGAGTTGTCAACTGTGAAATTCAGAGAATGAAAAAGGACTGTTGTTTCAAGCTTTTGAGATGGGTTTATAGACGTTGATTTTGATTTTTGTTGGTTGAGTTGTGTGTTTTATTGATGATTTCTCCTTCAATTTATAGAGAATGGAGGTCGGTTGAGTAGACCAACAGTTAATTTGAAGTACCCACTTGCCATTGGTTTTGGTGAGTGGGTTGCTGAAAATATAAGTAAACCCAAACAAAGTTGCTAAGAAGCTTTGATGTGATTTGACAGAAGTTATCACTATTAGACTTAAAGAAATCCAAAATATTAGTCCACTTGTTATTGATTGGTAGCTGACTAAAAAACAAAAAGAAATGGAGAGATAATGACCACCATCTCTACTTCTTTCTTTATTCATTCTTTAAGCCCACTTGCATATTATTTTATTCTTCTTTCAACCTTTGTGTAGACTTTTCGCGTGTTGAACTTTGGCTTTATTTTAATATTCGTCACAGAGAATATTAAATTGTTTCCATCTACCACATCTTCATTTTTATTCTTCTTTGAATCAACTAACTTGTGATGAAGTCCCTCCATTGATAAAGTGAAACTTGATTTGCAGCCACTGAGTTTCTCCTCCGAACATGCCTTGATGCATAATGAACTGGAAATGTTAGATTAATCCAGTTGCTGCAAATTTCGGATATGTTGTTCTCCACATAAGTAGGAACAACATTCATGAAGAACTTAATTCCATTTGAGCAATGGAAAATCTGATTTAGCATGGTTGCAACTGACTGGTCGTCATACACTGCTCTCACGAACAGAAATCATGATTAGTGTTCTGAAGATTCAATACTTGTGCAAATGATGCCAAATTCGGATATGTTGTAGTAGACATCCAAATGAACAACTTTCATGAAGAACGAATATTCATTTGAGGAATGGAAGCTGGCCCGAATTGGGCCATAATTAGGTCCGAATTGCCACTGTTATCAGCTTTCGCTGTTGCTGGTATGCTTCTGATGTTTGATGTCGTGAAGATTCCACATTTATCCAAATGATCCCAACTTTGGATATGTTGCAGTAGACATTCTAATGAAAAACTTTCATGAAGAAAGAAAATTCATTAGAGTATTGGAATTAGGCCCGAATTGCTGCTAAGCGTTGTGCATCTGGTATTTTCAGCTCTTAGAATTCAAAATTTGTCCGAATAAACCCAAATTTGAATATGTTGCAGTAGACATAGAGATGAACAACTTTCATGAAGAACGAAACTTGATTTGAGCGCTGGAAGTTGAATTTTGGGCTCACTCTATCTGACTGCAGCAAAGCATGTCTAGCCATATTGATGTTCATGGAACATTATCTTCCATTTTAGGCAAAAATACGATTTTTGGTACGAACAGTATTGTAGGTGCATTACAATACTTGACTTTTACCGGGCAGATTTATCATATGTTGTGAATTCAGTTTGTCAATATATGACTACTCCAACTGATGCATATTTTCATTTAGTCAAAAGAATACTCAGAGATATGTTCAAGGCACTATGAAGTATAGGATCAGTTTCACCAGTGACCCTTGGGAATTGACTGCCTACAGTGATGCAGACTGGGCAGGGGACATTGATACACTGAGGTTGAATATTGGATTTGTGGTGTTTTTAGGAAAGAATCCAATCTCATGGCAATCTAAGAAACATAGTTATGTATCAAGAAGTTCAACAGAGGCTGAGTATAGAGCTCTTGTAAATACCTATGCAGATTTGTCTTGGGTTAGAAATGTGTTGCAGGATTTGAAAGTTTATTTGCCTCAACCTCCTCTTCTTGATTGTGTCTGCCTTGGCACTGAGTTCAAACTGGTATATCACTCGATAATTAAACATCTTGACATAAATTTCTACTTTGTTTGTGAGAAAGTCCAAAAGAAGGATTTAACTGTGCAATACATTCCAACAGAGGAACAGCTTGCTGATATATTGTCGAAATTTGAGACTTGGTAGTCCATCTAACTCAGAGGAACTTGGTTAGGTTTGAGGGGGAAAGTTAACAGTAAAGATTATGTTAGTTAGACTCTTATCGAATCATGTGCAAGGCACGTGCTCTCTGTTAGAATTGTTAGCTAGTTAGGCTCCTATATAAGCTTGTAATCATTGTACGAATGGTTAATATCTGATAATAAGAAAAGTCTACAATTCATTCTCTGACATTCTCCTTCTAAATTCTTCTTCATTCTTTGTTTCTTGCTATTATTTCTCAACTGTTATCACAGACATCGTCGCCATCTTAGAGACAGAGAACACCACCGAGATTGCTGCCTCACCTTACAACTAAAACACCAACCAACAAAACTACAAATCCAAGCAGATCTAGACACAAGTAACATCCTCACAATTAAAACCCCAAATCCAGTAGATGGGGAATGAGGAAATAAGTGTGGAGGTAAGAAAAAGAGGTTTGAAATAGAGAAGGGAAGCTAGTAGAACCTCTTTTTATAAAATTTGCTTTCGAGTGATTATATTTCTAAATCTTGAAAAAAATAGGACAAAAGTCTAGGTCTCATTTGGCGTCTTGGCCTAGACTACACTACTTATTTAAATTGGACTAATATCTAGTCATTGATAAACCAATATTGTCTTACCCACCTAGATAAGCGAGATTCATCATAACTAATCTTGACTTAATTTCAATTTCAATAACTACGGTCCTCCACTCTCAATAAATTAATAAATAAAACCGATCTCAGCCGCCCCAAGTCGAAGACCAAGAGGAAACAAAAGGAAGTCAAAATCCTGATCTTTCCTTTTTAGCCAAACATAGCCCACGCTACACCAGAAGCTCGACGCAGTTCCCAAAACGGCCTCCACCGCTCCTCTCTGTCTCCCTATAACTTACCTGTATTATTTCCTACACATTTATATACAGTTTTAGTGCAATGGAGATCCAGAGTTTCTGCCACAGTGCTGATGATTTGAAGGGCATTATGCGCTGTTTGGTTGAATCTTTGATGGTGGAGACTGCTCTTCTTGCACGCAAGTCTCTTCTTTTACTACTTCTGCAGGTACTTCATTACTCAATCCCAAATCATCTTTCTTTAATTTTGGCTCTGTGAATTATCTTTACCTTGAAGCTCATACATTGATGATTGATGCAATTGAATTATGAGGATTTCCTTTTTCTGTGTAGTTTTTTGTTCACAATAGTTTGAAGAATGCTTTTGTTCATTAATTGTTGCCCATACACAAGTGTTTGTGAATAGGTTTTGTTATAGTTGTTTGGACTTAAATTTGTGTAATTTGGTTACCTTTACTTATTGGGGCTTCCTGCTGTAATAGTTTTCTGGGCAGAAGGAAACAGTTTGGTGGAGTGATTCCAAATCTAGTGGTCTAGATAACATTGTAAGGTTAAAATGTTTGTTTTAGATTATAACAATTTACTTATGTCCAAATGGAGCCTTAGGATAACAGAAAGTTGAAATCCCTATCTAACAGAGCGTAATAGCCCTATCAAATGTAAGTGTGGATTGAAGTGGGTTCCTTGAAAATTTGTCAAACATAGAAATTATCAAGATTGAGAATACAGGCTACTGGTGAAGTAAATGTTCCTTTTTTCTTTCTTATAGTTTCTCAACAGCAAAAGGAAAAGGGTGATAAAATGTAAAGCTTTCATATTGAACTGTTTTCTTTTCCATAATTGAAGCATTAATTTCTCTTCGAAATGTATCATAGGTGCTTCATTTCTGCTGAAGCAAATTAATTTTGATGAGCAAGTATGTTTGGCTTCATTTTTATGGAAGTAATTTGTTACCTGCTCTAGTGGTGATGGGTTTTAGCTTTATCTTAGTTATAGTAAGAAAACTAGTATTCAGATGATCTTGCTCTCTAAACATGTATTGTATGAGCATTTCTGATGTTACTTCCTGAAAGAAAAATTACTCTGTTTATTTGTAGTTCATTTTCTCTTCGTTTTTTCTATTTTCTTTTAGCATTGAAAAATGCTTATATTTCTAAGTATTACCATTCTGGGATTACGTAGATAGACATAAGTATCTCCTAACAGTCCATCTTCTTTCGTTTGAGTTCTCTTCACTAGCTGATGTGGAACTTTTCTGCTTGCTTTCAGTGGAGATTTCTGTTTGCCCTCTGCATGATTTTGAATATTCAGCTTGCTTGTTTTTGCGATTTTTACGCTTCTCTACGCATGTTATGTTTTTTAATATATGTCTCATGTTGGCTTTATGTTTGTTCTTCAACAGATTGGGTCTTTGCCTGACGATCATGACATATTTCAAAACTCAGTGAAAACATATCAGAGGTGGGAACGACATTTTGGGTATTTTTAAAAGTTTGAATTTTTAGATTTCCTTCTTTTATTGTTTTCTCTATGGTCACGGTATGGGGGATGGAAAGTGATAGGGCAGTGAGACTGCATTTCAGGTTTCCAATGTCCGAACTTAATAAAGTGAAAGAGCCTGATGCTGAAAACAACGATGCAGGTGAAACAGAGGATGATGATGACGATGATGATGATGAGGACAGTGATGATGATGATGAAGATGATGGTAATGATTCAGAAGAAGAGAGCGATGATGATGAAGAGGATTCGGATGACGAGGGTGAGGTTGAGGCTAATGGCGATGGGGAAAGCGATGACGATGACGACGACGACGATGAAGACGATGAGGATGATGAGGATGATGATGATGATGATGATGAAGAGGATGATGATGATGAAGAGGATCATTACCAGCTACCGTCGACAAGAAAGAAGTGAAGTTAATGGTTCACCATGTTTGATTTAGGCTGCTTCTTTACTAACTTGGGGCAGGTTGGAAAATTTTTATTGATTATTATGTTATATTTGTTAAGATAAGAGCGTTCAATTGCTTTTATGGTGGTAGAAAGTGTCTCTTCTTTTTATTTATTAAATTATAATGTGTCCTGTGGCGATTGTAGGTGTCTAGAGTTCTGTTATCCATATATACTGGCTCATGATCACGTATGTTAATGAGTGGCCTGCCAGTTGTCTCCGCTGCTAAACTTTGTACCCTATTCAAAGTGCAACTTATCTTACCTTATGTAAGTACGTAGTTTCTTGTTCTTTTTTCCTTGTTTTGGTCGCAACTAGTTGTAGAAGAATAACGGACTAGGTTTTGCTATTCGGAGGTTCGAAGTTTGCAATTGTTCGGTCTGGGAAGTTGCAGCATCTATTTTCTTTTCTAATCTATTCTTATCATAGATAGTCTTTCAAAATCAGATGGTACCTGCAGATTGTCATCCCATTTCCGCAAGGAAACTTAAACTTGGAATCATGCCAAAGGAAAAAACAGAACAAGCAAGCCATAATAAATAATCTCTACTATTTCTATGAAGGATGATAGACAATAAATAATCTCTGCAGAAACCACACATTGAAGAAGAATGCAGAGAATCTGCCTTCTCCATTGTCTTCATCTCAAGCTCAATTACACAGTTTTCATTTGTCACACAATTTACATTCCAAGTATCATCAAACGTCCAAAGCCTCACTCCGGCAACTTCCCAGACTGGAATATCGCAAACTTCGAAACCTCTGAATACTGAAACCTAATCCCATTCTCCTCCAACAACTTCTCCAAAATCTTCTTATCCCTCTCAGGGTTCGAGCTCTCACACTCCACCTCATAACACGTCCCGAAATCATAGTTACTCTCGTCCACCTCTATCTTCAACCCCTTCCACTCATACACACCCCTCACATTCCTAAACCCACCCAAGCACACAAACCCTAGCCCTTCCTCTCGGACCCCGTATTCCTCCCTCACGCGCGTTAAGAGCGCGGAGGAGTCGACAACAGAGAGCCGCCAAGGCTCCGCCACGCAGGCGCGGCCGAGGACCGGGTCGAAAGGCTCTTCGAGCTCTTGGACGCGGCTGACGCCGTCGGAGATGACGGGTTTGGCCTTGAGGGAGAGGACGCAAGGCGAAACGCCGTCGTAGAAGCGGAGGCGGAGTATGGCGCGGTTGGAGGAGAGTTCGGCGTTGGAACCGTCGAAGAAGATGTTCTCTTGGATTAAGGTTTGGACGTGGAAGGGGGAGAGGAGGTCGGTGAGCTTTTGGTGTGCGGAGGTGTCTGAGAGGCGGAGCTTCACTTCCACCTCCATTGTTTTGGTTGCTAAAGGCCTGACGAGTGAACAATGTCGTGTGTGCTTCGCTGATATTTGATATGGAGCATATGGTGGGAAGATGAGGAGAGATTTTTATTATTTTTATTTCAAAATAATAATTTATTTACATCTTTCTTGTTTATTTCTTTTGCCTATCGAATAACAAAGCTTTGTAGCTTATGTAGTTAAGAGTAGTTATACTATCTCGAGATTCTGTATTTGAATTTTTCCTTCTCAATTTAGCTTGTTTATAAAAAATAAAAATAGAAAACCAAAAATTTGAAGAAATTGAAAATGGCATTACTAATTTACCATATGGTAAAGGTAAAATAGAATAAAATTATGGTTCTTGTATTCCCACTTAGTACTAGATAGTATGATGACAAGTTTATTAATCTGTAATTGGATTATGAGGAATTGAATTGAGAAGGAGTTGGATTGAGGATAATTAGATTCCGGATTCCTATTGAAGTTCTTTACTAAACCATATGGATTTAGGGGAGTTAGATTTCGGATTTCTATTTAAGTTGTTTACTAAATCATATGGAATTGGGGTAATAAAATGTCATCGTTGTTGGGTTAAAGTAGTTGGAAAATTTGGAATTTTAAAAATTATGTGAGGATATAATGGGTAAAGAAGATGAATTCCTAGTGAGTTAGTTCTCCAGGAATTAGAATACCACCTCCCACCCAGGAATTGAATTCCTCCAAAATCAAGAATTCAATTCCTAATTTTGTGTGAGCCTCACTTACTTTTTAATTCCTTGAGATGAAGTAAATGCAGGAATCCTCCATAGATAGAATTCAATTCCTGATGAGAACTTTAATTCCTAATTAGAACACACACAACTATAATACCGTAGGAATTTGAATATGAGACCTTTGGTTTGCAAATTGAGGTCATTTTTCACTAGGTTAGACCCTGTTGGCACGAGGCACGTTCTATATCTTAATGAGAAAGTGAATAGAACTTGACGTATGTAGTAATTAAATTGGTCATGTTAAGGATACCATCTTTAAGAGAAACACTTGCATGAAATGAGGACAACACTATTTTGCTATCCCGATCAATCACGATATGTCACGTGTGATCACTTTTCCACATGTCAGTCTATAATTGGTCAAGGATAACAAAACAGTGTTATCCCCGTTTCATATAAGTTTTCTGCATCTTTAGAGACCAACTTGTGTACCATCTCTTTAATAGAAGTGAAGCACACCAATACAATGGGTCTCACCTCTATTAGAGAGATGGTACACAAGTAGGTCTCTAAAGATGCAGAAAAACTTGTATGGATTTGCTGTCCCCATTCAATCACATATTGAAACATGGAAAAATGATCACACGTGGCATACCGTGATTGGCTAGGGATAGCAAAATAGTGTTATCCCCATTTCATGTAAGTGTTTCTCCTAAAGATGGTCTCCCTATCATTTTCCTAATTAAATATGTATGACATGGCACATGCCACATCATTTAGGACATAAATTTAGCGCACAAATTTGGTGTCTCGAGTATTATTGAGATTTTATATACCTAATATTTTCTTTTGTGGAATAAATCTGAACATGTTCTGATGTTCAAAAGCAATGAAATCTTTGAAAGTAAATACTTTTTTTTTGTTTGTAAATTTTGGGTATTGAAATATAATACAAGTTTTTTGAAAGTATTTCATATATTTAAATACTTTTTTTGTAAATACTTTTTATTTGTTATATTTCAATACCCACGTACAAATAATCATACATGCATATATACCAAACATAAGAATATATAACTTTAAGAATATATTTTTTTTTTTTTTTTTTTTTTTTTTTTTTTGGCATTGAAATTCTCCTATAATGGCCAACCGATTTGTTTCTTAATACTCAAACACCACAACAGGATTGAAATACTGTAAGAATCTTGTCAGTAGAATTCCATAAGACGCAGCAACACTAAACTCAAACAAAAGAACAAGGGACACAGGATATGTTGACGCAGTAAAAAACCTCAAGATTGGGAAAAACAAAAACCAAATCATTATGAGAAATAATACAAAAAGGTCTTACAAGTCTCAACTCACAAGACTAACACTTACATGGCAAACTTGCCAACTCACCTTTGCTACTTAACCCAATCAGCAATCTTGTCTTCCTTTGTCAACAAGAGATGGCACAACCCTGGTCTCGGTTGCTCACACCTCAAGGCACGATTGTTGATCACTAACATGCATAATGCTCCTGAACTCAAACATATATGAAAAGATGATGATTTAATCACTCATGGAGGCTAACAAGGAACAGCCACATGAGTTTTCAATATGAACGCTCAAAAAATATTCTCTCGTCCTTTTCTTTTCAAAGTCGCAAATAACAAAACAGCTGAAGTTCCTTTCTTATTTTGCACGCTTAAATCTAGGCCAGAGACCAAAAAGGCTTTTAGCAAAAATGGTCTTTTTCACAAATATATTCTTTCATTAAAACAAATAAAGCCACTTAACTAAATACCCAACTGAAAACACATAAGAACCCTTTTATCAACACAAAGTCGCACATAAATAAACACCAACTAAAGAGTATAAACTCATTGTTAAAAACTCACTTATGTTTGGCACTGGATTATGTAATACTAAAACCATATATCAGTCCTATAAATTTGACAGCCACTTTTGATGAACTTCCAAATATGCAAATATGAATTAATGCATGGATGCAAAACATACATTGGCATTGTCTCTGAGCCACACTGATCCAGGATAGCAGAACGTCACTTAAAAGCTATAGGTTACACTTAAAGACCTACTCTATATTTTTGTAACAGGAAATTGCCAATATACAAAAATTGGTCCTAACAAATATGTTTGTTTGAATTTATTTATTTTTTTAAATGCATACGTGTGCTTGTTAAATAGGAGTATATAACTTTAAGACTATATATTTATGATAAATATGCTTATTTGAATATAACAAAAATGCATATGTATGTTTGTTATATCCAAACCTTGTATATGTGAAGAAATGAAACATTGTTAGATAAATTGAGATATGAAAGTTTGGAATTTATTTTGATGTTTTCAGCATTACTCTGATCAACAATGCATGTAACCTCTATAAAATGGTATGATCACATATTTGAATTGAAACTAGATGTTGACTAGATATGCAACTTTGTATCCCAAGTCAGATAGAGGGTTCTTGGCATAATGCCTAGAGAGAAGTTTAGAGGGAGAAACTGAGATGATTAGCTTTCTGGTGGACAAGGCAGTGGTTGCCATCCCACATCGTTTTTATCAAGCGGTGGTGATCCCACATCGGTTTCTTAGAAAACCTCATCTGTTTTCTTCTCTATAAAAGCTTCATCCCCATGAAATCAGCGCTTGAAAGTCAGACCTCATCTTGTTTTTGGGCTGTACAAATCTTTGTCTATTTGGGCTTTCTAAATGCCCAGCTGGACCTGGAGTCTTTCAAATTTTGACGACTTAAAGTTCATAACAATTAACTAGTATTAATCATATCAAAGCCCGAGACTTCCGAAATTATTACCCGAACTTTCCGAAATTATTAACTTTCCGGAATTTCCGAAATTGCCGAAAATTCTATTGCGGAATAGGAAATGTTTTTTGGGGTCAGATAATAACGATTGGGTTCTTGCCCTACCTCACTTCGATCTTTAAAGCTTCGATTTTGAGTTCAAATCAAACCCAGTATCCTCCTTCGCGGACTCACCAGAATCGGCCTGAACCGCTCTGAACCGCTTTGTATACAGACTCAACCAAGAACATCAGACCCATTTGGGTTTGCAGAAGCTGTAGCCATCACGCCCTCTATCGTTCTTCTTCTGCTGTAACTGTATGTTTTCTGCCACCTTCTTCTATTCTTTCTTCTACTTCTTCTGCAACCCTAATTTCTCTGTCACTTATTCTCTATAATTCAGGGGTCTAATTTGGTATTGTTGTATTAGTTTGTGAATTGGAGTTCTTCTACCCTTAAAATGAACTCAAATCGATAATCTACTCACAAAATATGGCCTGATTGGATAAATGTTTCTTTGTTAAATTTTAATACTTCAAGTTCTCATGTGTATATTTATGCACGTATGTCATAATAATTTTGGTATTAGGGAATTGGGTTTTCTTTGGTTTTACTGTTTTGCATTTGGCAGTTGGGTTTGCTTTTGTTCAATTCAATGATTCCTTAGAATTTTGTTCTTCTATAGGAACTTTAACCATGGAAGAAGAAGATGACTATTCTGAGTATGTACCTGTGGCGAAGAGGCGAGCTATGGAAGCTCAGAAGATTCTTCTGCGCAAGGGAAAGTCTTCCGGGCTTGAAGAGGATTTGGAGAAATCAAAGCTTGCTGAAGCCAAACCTAGTCTCCTTGTTAAAGCATCACAGTTGAAGCGTGAAGCTCCTGAGATTACTCCAGCCGAGCAGATGGTGCAACAAGAGAAAGAAATGATTGAGAACTTATCGGATCGCAAAACGCTTATGTCAGTTCGTGAATTAGCAAAGGGCATCACTTATACGGACCCTATACCAACAGGCTGGAAATCCCCATTGCATATAAGAAGGATGCCAAGCAAGCAATGTGATTTAGTCCGAAAGCAATGGCATATCATAGTTAGTGGTGAAGATGTTCCACCACCTATTAAGAATTTCAAGGATATGCGATTTCCTGAACCGATTCTGAAGATGTTGAAAACCAAGGGGATTGTTCAACCAACCCCCATTCAGGTGCAAGGTCTTCCGGTGATTTTATCAGGGAGGGATATGATTGGTATTGCATTTACAGGTTCAGGAAAGACATTGGTTTTTGTGTTGCCGTTGATTATGGTGGCATTGCAAGAGGAGATTATGATGCCAATTGTTCCAGGTGAAGGGCCTTTTGGATTGATTATTTGCCCATCAAGGGAGCTCGCAAGGCAGACTTATGAAGTGGTGGAAGAGTTTCTCATTCCTTTGAGAGAGGCTGGATATCCAGAGATAAGGCCTTTGCTCTGTATTGGAGGAGTGGATATGCGGTCACAGTTGGAGATTGTGAAGAAAGGCATTCATATAGTTGTTGCTACTCCTGGAAGGTTGAAGGATATGCTTGCAAAGAAAAAAATGAATCTCAATAATTGCAGGTAACTGTCATTTTACAAACTCTATTTCACATGTCCTTTCCATTGATGGGTTTGTTTGATATGATGGATTTCTTTTCTCCCTTTCTTGACGATCTTCTATCTGCAACTTTATTGATGTTCTGTATAATTTCAATTATAATGATATTAAACGCCACTGATTTCTTTTGCAGATATCTGACTTTGGATGAGGCAGATAGATTGGTAGATTTGGGCTTTGAGGATGACATAAGAGAAGTGTTTGACCACTTTAAAGCTCAACGACAAACACTGTTATTTTCAGCCACCATGCCCACAAAAATTCAGAACTTTGCTAAAAGTGCTTTGGTAAAACCTGTCACTGTAAATGTGGGAAGAGCTGGAGCAGCAAATCTTGATGTGATTCAGGAGGTTGAGTATGTGAAGCAAGAGGCCAAGATTGTTTACCTTCTTGAATGTCTACAAAAGACCCCACCTCCAGTTCTAATATTTTGTGAAAACAAAGCTGATGTGGATGACATTCATGAATATCTTCTGTTAAAAGGAGTGGAAGCAGTGGCCATTCATGGAGGGAAGGATCAGGAAGAGAGAGAGTATGCCATTTCTTCCTTCAAGGCAGGGAAGAAAGATGTCTTGGTTGCCACTGATGTTGCCTCCAAGGGTTTGGATTTTCCTGATATTCAACATGTCATAAATTATGATATGCCACCAGAAATTGAAAACTATGTTCACAGGATTGGACGAACTGGAAGATGTGGCAAGACTGGAATAGCAACGACATTTATAAACAAGAATCAAACTGAGACAACTCTTCTTGATTTGAAGCATCTCTTGCAAGAGGCAAAACAAAGGATTCCACCTGTTTTGGCCGAGCTTAATGATCCAATGGAAGATGTGGATGCAATTACCGATGCAAGCGGAGTTAAGGGTTGCGCTTATTGTGGTGGGCTTGGTCATCGTATCCGTGATTGCCCCAAACTAGAGCATCAGAAAAGCATGGCAATTGCTAGCTCTAGAAGGGATTATTTTGGATCTGGTGGTTACAGAGGGGAAATATGATAGTTTCACTTACACCTGTCTGACTGTTCACTTTACAAGTTGAAAAGGTGAAAAATTTGATCTTTGTACTCTTTTTGTTTATTAATGCATGTACTTTAGCCTTTCCTTAAACACGAGCCTTAGTTGAATTTGTTAGTGTAATTGGATGACCATTTTCTGCAGTATCTCAAGTGGCTGTAAGCATTCTGATAGACGTGTACATACATGTTTTTGCCTTGAATATGGGAAAAGAGTATCTTTGAACATATTTTGCATTTCTTTGATCCTCTTCTTGAAAATAGGAGTTAATGTGAAACAAGTTTTTCTTTTTAAACAAAACCCTGTTTAATATAGAGCTGCGCTGCTGCGCAGACAGCTTGAACTTCACAAATCCAAAGCCCCAGGCAGACTGTAAATATTAAGTAATAAACTGAAGTTTCATGTCCATAAAGGATGGTAAATATCAAGTAATATGATATCACAGTGATATTCTGGGCAAAGAAAAGAACAGAACATGGTTGGCTACATATACTATCTGAGATTACATTTTGATGGAGATGGATTCATCTATCTAAATAGTATATGCATTACATCAGCAGTGCCAAAGCATTAGCTCTAAGATTTCTGGTGACAAGAGATGGATGTGGATCTTGGTGCAAGATATCTGACAAACTAGTTCCCATTCTCCCATCCTGTTCATCCATCAAAACCAGTCAGCCAAAAATCATGAAAATTATGTTACAAACTTACAATTAAAACCCATAATTCATATGCTTTCAGGATATAGAAAAAGTACTAGGGTTTAAATTACCAAAGTGAACAGCATAATTACCTGTGAAGAGTTGACACTTGTATTTCCATCAGTAGACTTGAATTCTTTTGCTACCAGAGATCTGGGGTCAATTTCTAGCATCTGAAACTGCTGATATATCTCATTCATCAACTTCTTTCTCTCTTGTGCACTCTCAAATAACTCTTGCTTCATAGTTTCAGTTTCTTCTTCAAGAATCCTCAACCGCTCATTTAGTTCTTCAACTTCACTGTTGCACACTACAGCTTTACTTGTTGAACAACCAAGAAGCAGCGGTTTCTTCACTCCCTTTTCAGCACCCCAAGTCCTTGAATCATGCAATGGTTTTTTCCCACTTGACCCGGCCTCCAAATTGTAACGATGCGATTCTCTTTCCTTTTCGGTCCTTTGGCGCTCCTGCATGGAACCATTGTAAACTCTTTGCCCACTAGTGCTTGCACACTTCCATGTCGAAAGCTTCTTGATTGATGAACATATTTCGAACTCATGCTTGACAGTTTCCATTCCAATATTTATTCGTATATATATGTGTATATATAGAGACACACACAGAATACCAAGGACTTTCCTTGGAACTCAGCAATTTGGCCGTGAACTTAATTATATGTGTGCGGCTTCCGAGAGGCCATTTATAGAAGAGCTTTAATACTCTTGAACAAAATTTGGGCATGTACCAGACAGTTGGTTAGAGAAAATGTGGAAGTGAATGATGATTGCTTCCGTATACTTTGCTTCACTTCTAAGAATGCTGGTGTTTGGAGTGTTATCTGTTATGGCCTATGAATGCGTATTGCAGACTTGCAGTAGTGACAGACAGAACAGAGATTTAAGGATTAGTTTCTTCTGTCTCTGTGTGTGTGTGTGTGTGTGTGTGTGAGAGAGAGAGAGAGAGAGAGAGAGGGGGGAAATTGCTTAGCACTTGCTGAATGAATAGTCTTTCCTCGAAATTTGTCTCCATTCTTATTGGGAGGCAATATCAGCAGCAATACAAGCGTAAGTTATAAGCCAGGCCTTCCCTTCAGAAACTGATAATTAAGCAATCGTCAGTTCAACTTTGGCTCGCTGTTAGATATACTAGGCAAATTTTGGCTCTATTCTACCAGTACCAGCGGCTTTTGGTCTTATGCTGAATTTTCAGTGACCAATAGAACCAAATCTTCAGATTATATTTACTATCAAGTCCCTTCATCACCTTCCTGATGACAAACAAAAAAAATTACCTCGAGTCCTTTTTTCCTATTCACCCAATATCTCTTCTTTTCTTTGTTTTTCATTTTTTTCAGACTTCACCTGATATCATCGTTCACTAATCTCCATGCATCATCTGACATGTCGCCAGCCGGCCCGTTTGACACCTCTATTCATCATCTGACATGTCTAAAGTTAATGAATCACCCCATGCTTCCGACACACATAAAATATTCCGAGATAAAACGCGCGCACAAACACGTATAATGTTCTCATTTGAAAGATCCACCTCCTGTGCATTGAACAAGTGTCATAGTGGATGAGACACCGATAAAAGATACAAAATCATTTACAAGGAACCTGGAGAAGGCTATATAATAAATAAAAAAGGGAAAAAAAATAACCTGTATAATAGAGGCTTCACATTTTATTGTACTAAATACACAGGTTGCTTACTCTATGTTTTTATTGAACTTGATGAAGATTTAAAAAAGACAAAAAAAGGCATTGATACAGGTGTGCTTCGAGTTTCATCTCATTTGTGCAGTAGGAATGTAGATGTTGTTTACCCTTCACTTCAGACTTTTCATCTTGAATTGATTATGGAGGGGAAAAAAGGGAAAGAGAATAAGAGAACCAAAGCATCTTAACTTAATCAATTGGCACTTCGACCTCCATTTTTACGCCATAACTGCCAAGAACCTGTATCACATACAAAACCGTAATGAAATATGTAAAATGCCTGATAGAAATACAGAAGTTAATAAAACCATGCTAGGTATTCACATTAAATGTCACAGGAGCCATCAGAACTTTAAATTCGCTGATAAGAGAAAATGAAACACTGCCATAAACAAATGCCGGCTCTTATAGATTTGCAAGTTCACTTTCCAAGTGTACAACAAGGTAATCAGATGATTCTGTCATGGTTTTTTAATGGGAAAGCAGACAACCAAATGTTTGATAGTTCTGGTGTCCTCTTAAAAGTACATAATGCCAGACCCGAGAATCTAGAACTAAAATTCCAACCAGCAAAAATATTAAATACCTATGCATTTGGCAAAACTTCCATCTCTATGCCTAAAAGTCCTATTAACTTCTGGTGAGATAATTGCTTGCACTAACTGAACCTAAATATTCGATGACTGAAAAGGTTATTTAACTTTATAACATATGCTTCTGTAATATAGTCAGTCCAAAAAAATTAAATTTATGTGATATGATACATCCTCACTCGTTAGCAACAGGCTGACTGTCTGAGTAACCGTAATGCAATATTCTTGAAACTACTTTAGGAGGATAGGTCATGGAGCAAAACACAAAGAACTGCACTTGCTTTTTGAGTACAGACTGCTCGCTAAGGGAGACATTTGGACCTTCTAAATTGCATGCATCATTGGGTTGTTAAGATGGATAAAGCAATGACGTATACTTCATTTTCCCTTTTTCCTTCCAAGTAGTGCAGTTTTTAGTTGGACTAAAGACTACAGCAATTAATTCTTAATGCAACTAGAGAATGCTGAAACATTTCAAAAGCCTTTCAAACTCTTCAAAGGATAGAAATGCTCAACTTTGATCTCTGGTGAACACCCAAAGATTAATACCTTAATATAGATAAGCATCAATTATCACATATATTTGGGCATAAAATCAGCCATAGTAAGATTCTGTAGCTGGAGAAGTTGTCTAGGAGTTGTTCTCGTGCCATTTGTGCTTACAAAGGTATTTCATCCTTAGTGTTTGAAAATAAAAATGATATAAATAATGGCTATATCATGTCAGCCCTCATTTAAAGCCTAAAAAAGTTCTGAGCAAGATATAAGTGTACCCATGGTCCACCCCGTTCTCTATATGGTAATGGTGGTCACAAGAAATATATAAGTGTACCTTAACGAAGTCATCTAACGTCAAATAAGATTCCCTTGCATATCCTGCTTCTTGCAAGACTTGAGTCAACACTTTCTGCAAATGAAAGACCAATATGAACATAGGATACAACAGAATTCAAAATTTGCTCCTTGACTACAAAAAAACATATCAGTGTGATAAGCATGTCAGGAATTGTAGATAACTAGGCTGAGAATAACTTATCCTAGTGAGGAACTACCAAAAACATGAATAAAAGAAATTAAAGATGCCAGGACCAAGACCTACACCCAGACCCACATATGTAACCAAACATGCATGCCTGATCATAGGTCAGATATGGAGCAACAATGCTCAAATTTATCCGAAATAACTAGTCTAAAAACATTAGAAGGGTTGGCTGAAGAAATTAGGAAAGCAGATTCAAAATTTGCAATGACACCAAATATCACTCTATGCAGCCAAAGTAACAAGGATAAGAACTTTCAGTTTCTGCATCAGACTAAGGTATTGATAACTTGATGATACTCACTGCACAGCTCATGAGTCACCAATTGATAGTTTGAGTACAAAACTCAACATACACCAATTAGGTGAGAATCAATCAAAACCATTAACTCTTCTCTTGCAATGTTATGACTGAATGATCAAAGAAAGCGAGAAAATGGATAAAACCTTGATATTACCTCTCTTTGCTCGTCAGACATGAAGGAACCAGACAAATCACGTAGCACTTCTAATATATCATTGAAAGACACCTTCCCATTACAGTCTGAGTCATATACCTTGAAAATAACTGAAAAAGAGACCATGTTATGTTAACCCAACACACAAACATGCTAGAAGATTTTCCCTAATTGTCATGAATACTAGAAGAATATAAGCAAATATCAAGAATGGCAGTAGAAGCAGTAACAAGTTAGTTGCAAAAGGAAAATAAACAATGATTATAATAACAATATTAAAAAACTTTACCAGCTAACAGTGGTAATGCCTGTATGGCTTCAAAACCACCTACCCAAACTACGTAATCTCATTTACTGGTACCAGTTTTCCTGTTTAGGTTTAGCCGTTTATTTACTCTCCTTGATAGAGCTTGTTTCAGAGAAACAAGCAAAGATTACTTATCTACTGCATCCATGAGCATTAGAATAACTATTTGCAAGTACCCAATACTTGAACGGTTCATATTTTTCACTAGTATTCTGCAGAAAATCATACCAACACCTATTTTTTACACACTTTTGTCATCCCTTCAAGAACGAAATGTGTTTACTTTTCTTCCACTTTCATGTATCACTCTCTTTTCAGTCCTGATTATTTGAAATGATAAAAGACTTATAGCAAGGGTGGAATTTGATTCATATGCCATAATAAAATTCCAACGTAAAGCGACAATAAAGACTGGACCAGAATAAGCAATAACATATATGGAGTTCTTTGACTCTGTTTCAACAACTGCAGAGTTATTTTACTTCCTGCATGTATTCTAAGTGGACTCCTTGTACACAGGGATGCAATTATTGTCAGTATTAATAAAATTTTGTTCCTTCTCAGAAAAGAAAAAAAGTAGAGTTCTTTTGGCATAAAATATAAAAATGAAAATTTACAGAGTTGCACCCATTTGAACAGATAACATCAATAATCCACACAGAATACACTAGCCACTAGCTTTATCCATTCCTTAGAACATGAAATAACTCATCTGGAACATATTATATGAGTTCAACTCAAAATAAGCCAAATAGTAAACGAATCAGTTCACTATAAAATACTAAGCTTAGTGGGACCAAATAACTCACGTTCACTTTTCTGCTGCATACTAGCTCTAGCACTAAATGCAGACAAGAAGGCCACAAAGTCCTTAAAATTCAAACCATCCACCATCTTAAGCAACCTCTGAGGAGAACATAGCAGAGCCACAAGTCAGAAACTCACACCATGCATTACCAATGATACAGAGAGCGTGGATTGAACAACTAAATATAAGCTCATCCTAGCAGTGGACTACCTGAGAGAGTGGATTCATTGCAAACTCGGGGACTGACAAGAATTCATCAGCTGAGATAAAACCCTTTGCATTCCGATCAAGTTGACAAAATCTTTGATATAAGGATACAATTTCTTGCTGAGAAACTGATTTTCAAAACAAAACCAGTTCAACTAAGTATTAGCATTGATAACAACAAAAACAAATTGCAACGCGTGAAAGAGAGACAAAGAAAAAATAACAAAAAGAAATACCCACATAAATCATTGCAGTGTTCCTGTACTTCTTCAATGTCATACTGAGTTAGCATGGATGAAGCACTCCCCATTGGTTCTCACTTCAAAGCTACAAAATTTGAACAAAGAACAAGAACCCATTCATCACTTACCCCTGTAAGTCAAAAGCCAGAAACCAATAAATAAATAAACACTAATTTTACACTTCAGAAGGTTTGGGTGCTGTGTTAGATTGCTTAGAAACGGTGGCAGGCAAAAGCAGGAAAAATTAAAACTTTTCAAAATCTGAACTTCTCCTGTCGCTTACATAGTTAGTTTTATTCATTTCTTGGGAAGCAGTTCAATAGCGAAAACTTAAAAATCAAAATGGTCATTACCAGAATTCCTTCAATTCTTTTTCTCGGCAACCAAACAGAAAATGAGAATAAATAGGAAAATGAAAGAAAAGGCACCTGGAATTCTGAGCCAAAAATATGGCTGGAGGCTCAGATAAGATGATACGATTTGTTGGGGAAAATACAAGAGATGAGCTTTACTTTGTCAGCAACGATAACACTTGAAAATCAGACATTGTTTTTGTCTAAGGAAGTGACTCGGCGAGGAGTTTATTTTGCTGGCAAATTCCCGAAAGTGTTCGTGATCGAATGCTTGCCTATTGTATTAAATAATTTTTTAAAGGGTGATTTTATTAGCACCCCATTATTTGTTCTTTAAAATTACATAAATAACTTATTTTATCATTATACATAAATACCGTTAGGAAAAAAAAAAAAAAAAAAAAAAAAAAAATTAAAATTAAATGATTGCTACACACACACATATGTTCATCCAACCCTAGTTAGAATTTTTTTCTCAAACCATCATGTTCCTATAACTCTAATGAGGTTTATACACTTATACTGGCGAAAAAATATCTTGTATTTATTCATGAAAGGTGAGACTAAAGTTAGAGAGGCTTCAAATGAGGTATGAGTTTATTTTTTGGCGTTTCTGAAGTTTAGAATTTTATGATGGTCATTAATTGCGTTCAGCATACCAGTACCGAACACGATAGGTATATTAAGTGGGATGCCACTAAAACATTATACATATTTCGGTGTGTTGATCGGCCGTTAACTTAAGATGTGGTGGATATCCACCATAACATGGACGGTGTTCGGTGATGTATTACCGAATTTTACATACAATTCAGTGACAACAAACCAAAATGTCACATCCTGAGATCGGCTCCGCCGCAGCACGATATTTTCCGCTTTGGGCTTCCCTCTCTGCCCTCACGGTTTTATTTCTGGGAGCTCACGAACAACTTCTCAGTGGGTCACCCATCCTGGGATTGCTCTAGCCCCCAAACTCGTTTAATTTCGGAATTCTCATGACTCCAAAGCCAGTGAGCTCCCAAAAGGCCTCGTGCTATAGGGAGAAGGCATGTACATATAAGGCACATCACCCCTTCTCCGTTGGTCGATGTGGAATGTTACAAAAATATATTTATTTTTTCAGTAACTTATTGTCGACCACAAATTTAATGCAAACTATTTTGACCTTACTACCATTGAAGGAACAAAAATAAGAAGACGCCCCCAAAATAAATGACACATCATCCAATGTAATGGTCATCTCACCAAAAAGCATGTGAAATGTGTTCGTTTCGGGATGCCACCTCCTCGTTGAGGTTGTGGGACGTTGTTTATCAAGTTGAGATGATGAAGCCTCAATAGTACATCTGCAAGTCCTCTTCATATTTTAAAAACAATATTAAGTACAAACTCAATAATGAATTTGATAGATGATCACTCAAACAAGAAATGAATTCAGTAGACTACCACTGAAAAATGGAAACAAATTTGGTGGACTACCACTGAAAAACTAAAACAGATTCGGTGGACTACCACTGAAAAGCGGAAACACATTCGGTGGTCAGCCACTGAAAAATGGAAACAAATTCGATGGACTACCACTAAAACAAGATAACGATTTTGGTGGGATTTACATAGGTAAGTTAAGGAATGGAGTTCATGAGGACAATTTAGGAAGAAAAATGGGGTGTAGTGAGTAATTTTAAATTTTACTAAAATTTAGTGGGGTGCAAAGAGCAAATTTTAGGGTGCCAATAAAATCATCCCTTTTTAAAATGTCATTTTTGAAAGTTATGAGCTCATCATTTCATTGATTTTTATGACATTTAGCGAAACTTTTTTATTTTTTTTTATTTTTGGGGATAAAGCACAACCATTTCTAAACAATCTTAAAATTGCTAAAAATATGACGATGGGTAAATTTCTAAACAATCTACATGTGTGTGTAAATTTCTAAACAATCTACATGTGTGTGAATTTTTCCCCTTCCTCACCTTAAAAAAAATGAGAGTATAGTATCGTTCACTTGCTCCAAAGGGAATGAGGAATTCCACGGTTAACCAACTTTTTGGACCTACTTCACATTGTAATTCAATAATCTAAATGAATCAAAAAACGAGTATGTTCTTAGACGTACGTTGTTGAGCATGTGTGTTGAATAAAAAAACGAGTAGCTCAAGTAGTTAAGAGCATTTACTCCTGCACTCAAGATGCTTTCTTTGATTCTACCACCCCAATATCACTTGTATATCAAAACTAGAGAGAAGGCAAAAGCGTGCAGGCATAGACTATGCGCATGACAGTGACACAGTACAGGCTCTCCTTGTTGTAAATCTCAAAGTTGTTTTCATGTATGACGATTTATCGAGGCCTCAAAGTTGTCTTCATGTATTAAGAGTTATCAAGGCCCCACATCTTTCCAATGTACAACTAAAGCTTTGGCAATTCACTGATTATAAATGAAAGCAAAGATTCAAGTGGTTTGAGTTCTGGATATCATATAAAGTTGTGAAGCATAGCAGTCTGGAGAACAAATGCTTCAGTGCTCACAGTACTAAGGCGAGCATTCGGCCATAAGAAAGATCTTCCGGGCAAGCCCATGAAAACACTTTAAAAACTGTATAGCTTAAACCATAGCATATTGAAAGATCAAAACATACAGAACTACATCACTGGCAGAACTTATACTGCCACCTCAATACAAAAAATGGTTGAGTATGTAACAACAATTCCAACGAGTCCCAAAGCAAAGGGAAGCCTGACAGCATCCGAGCTTTGCATTATTAGATACAACATATACCATAATATTAGCATGCATCAAGATCCCGGCACGGAGGAGGTTTGGGCTCACCGAGCAACGTAGTATTTCCTCCTTCTGGTCCACACTTAATGCGCTTAGGGTTTTGAGTGCCATGCTGTAAATTTGGAAATTATATTACACTATGTTGCAACAATATAGAATCATAGATAATCTAAACAAGAGACCTCAATTAGGATGAGGGATTAAAAAAGTTCTAGAATATAACAAAACCTGGGAAGAAAACCTAATAAATATCTACACCTAGTTTCCTTACCGGTGGCTTCTCGCCCTTTCTTAACTTCTCAACTATTTCCACAACTAGCTCTGGAGTAACATCTTCCTGAAATTGACATAGAATATAAATATAAATTCCACAAAAATTCAATCAGTATAGCATCCACGTAATAATGAATAGAAAAAGTCTTGACCCACGTAGTAATTGTATGTATATCCCTCCGATCCATTGGAGTAATCGGCGACCGTAATCATGGGAGCATTCACACAGCTTCCCTGTAGACAACCAATGACTTAAATCAGAACATGCATCACTCCTTCAAAATGAACAGCAAAAAAATTGAAGAAGAAGAGTATGGAAAACAAAAATCAGTAAAAAGAGGGTCTCATAAAAATTAATTTATCCCTATTTAGGATCACAGGTGGTCAACCAAGGAATTATGTGAATAGCATGATAGTGAGGGAAACTAGTGAAATGCCACACCAACATTAACTCATAATTTCTCTTGGTATGAGCCTTTTGTCTGTCAGAAACTGTAACTTAAGTTTTCAGGCACCTTACAAACTTTATCACCTGACGCTATATTAAAGTTTCATGGACCACCAGTAACCAACATATTAATTCTTTTTCTTACTGTTATTCTCATCTTCATTCCAGCATGAATCAAGCAAAATCAGTGCTAAAGACTAGTCAGAAGCTGAAGGTTTGGATCACTAAACCGTTGAAGAAAAGACTCACCATGCATTCCATTTCTCCAACTGAGAATAATCCATCCTTGGTTACTTCTGCACATGACCAATTCAAAGTTTATTTTCACATGCTCTTTTATCTACTAATACCTTAGAATGGTGTGCATTGAAAATTAGAAGAATTTTAAAACCATTTATAAGACTCACCATTGCGCTTCACTCCTAAGTGATTCAGTAAAGCTGCTTCAATGTCTCGTGAACCACGAATCATACATGGTGTTGTGCCACAAACCAAAAGGTGGTACTTGCCCACCTAAAACCAATCAGAGAAAAACACTTGGGTACTGGAATTTGCATAATGACAAAATGATACAACAATATTAAAATGTAAAATTTCTTACCTTCGTCCGATTGAACATTGAATAAAATGTTGCAACTTCATATACACGTATAGGAGCAACTTCGATAACCTTTGCTACCTGGAACATCCATGAAACAATAAAATAACTAAAACTGTTCATGTAGCCTCTTTCATTCTCAATAACTGGAACTTCAAATCAGCACAACAATGAGCTTTTAACATGCTATGCTGTGGAAAAATATTATACTCAATGATCAAATTTCATTTCAAGTACAAAGTTTGGATATCACATATCTGTGATGCAAAATAGGGGTAGAACTTTGGTTAGACCAATCTGACCAATCTGAATTTCAGCAAATCAAGTAAAGGATATTTTATAAATAGACCAAAAACAACATAGACACTAACCCCCCCGTAAACTTCTCATGTCCACCCTTAATGCAGAAAGAGTGACACAACATAAAATGACGCTCACCATTGTGTCAACAAATCCCCACAATAGATTTAAAAATTGAACAAACACATAACAGAGCTTATGCAATAACAATAGATAAAGAGCCTGGCAATTATAGACTAAAAGTAATACAGCAAACACAAAATCTAAATATCAGTGTCTAAACGCATTCAACATGTTAAACAAACCAAAAGCAGGAAAGCTCATATGCTGGCTCTGCATCATATTCAGAGATATTCTAAATTAAAAAAAAATTCTGTCTAGAATTATCCAATGGGTACAGAAATCATGACCTAGCAGAGAACAAAGATTGCTCAAGGAACAAGAACTTCAAATCTTTAACTCTTGCTGATTACTTCAGTACTGATTGCAACATTACTATTGTGCTGTTCAATTCTACAATTAACTATTTGAACCAGTGAGCCAATTCAGTCTTAGCACAATCACTCTGATCTCTACTCCTTTTGAACAGAACACACTTGAATCTTTGTTTGATCTAACTATAATCCATATGATCCAAACTGGTTTTACAAATATTATATATACTTCTAAGCTAGATGAGATACGAGACCAACATATGATATTATCTCAAGCTGGGAGTAAAAACATATTATCCAAACTGGGTTTACAAATATTATTATCTGACAATAATTATATTATCTCAAACCAACATATGATATAATATTTATCATGTTTCTCTCACACACAGAAACCAGAATTGTAGAGATGTGTTATAGAGATATATGAAAAATAAGTACAAGATATACATAATTTTAAACAACCACTCATGCCAACATACTGCATTCATTGCTGAAACAGGGAGCCATCCTCCATGCTGCTGCTGTGCAAGATCCAACAGAGGAATCACTGCAGATTGCTTGTAGTTGGATGGATAATGAGACAGTATCTCTTTCGCCTACAAGTAAAAGGATGACACTTTTTAGAACTTCATTAATATGAAACAATCTTACATGTGCCAAGTAAGACAGCCTATATTCCAAAGCTCAGTTCAAGAACTTCCACAGCAACATCATCATCATAAATATGAATCCATAAGAAAAAATGTGTAAAATGCGGTGCATAACTTGGGGGATTTAAACCCTATGGACGATACAATTCTAGAAACTTAACTTAAATACAAGGTTGGAATCGTTCAACACCGACTAGGCTCTAGTAATGTGGAAATTTGGAAAAAAAAATCTTGGTTGAATTGAGGGGGCGAAGAAAACCTAAAAATGAGTACACATCTTTGCTTCTTGCAATGTTAGAATTAGATACCAAAGCCTACAGCACACATTGGCAACCACATTTTTTAATATTTTATTTTTCAAAAATTATACATGTTTCGCCACATTTACTGCATTGCTTCGCCAATGAAGATTATGCTAATACAATAGAAAGGGGAAACCCCAGAAAGGAAAAAAAAATCATACTTTTTATAACAAAAAAGTAAGAATTTTATGGATTACCTTCTGTTTGTTAGCTTCGTTGAACTCCCATGGTAAGTCTGGATTGTTATCCGGAGAATCAAGATGCTGCTCAATGTTTCAAATTCCATTCAATAATCCAATCCGTTCAATTTATACATATAATATCAAAAGGGCAATAAGTAATAATGAAGAAATGAGTAGAACTCACGTAGTTGAGGGCAGTGGAGAAGGATCGGGCAGGCTGCAGAAGAATCGAAAAAGCGAAAATTGTGAGATTATGGGAGTGATTGGGAGGTGAGAAAATGAGAAGGAAAATGGGAGAAAGTAACCTGACTGAAAATCCGACGGATCTCGTGTAGACGATTGGAAGCGAGGCGAGCCAGCATTTTGGAACAGCTCCGAACACAACTTGCTACTACAGAAGCTGAGCGAGAGAAGGAGAGAGCTTTGGGGCTTCCAATGAACCGGACTCACCTGAAGCTGATGAATGGGATGTCGTAGACGATTATGGACCGTCGGATCTTGTTTCGATTTGGTTGATCCAGTGCTTCGCGACAGGGGTACTCACTGGTTTGAAAGGTGTACCCAATTGGGTTGGGCCAATGTTGGTCAATTCAATGTATTCGGGTTTGGGCCGGCTGAGTAAGCTTGGGTTAGAAGGATTTCAACACAAAAGAAAGTTTAAATTAAGTACATTGGATCGCATGTATTATACATACTAAAAAATATTTAACCAACTAGCATGTCTAATGGACGGCTCAACAGGTGTGAGTTAGACCGGTTGGCTAAAGCACTATACCACCCCTCTTGTCTCATCCTTATGGTTTCGGAAAATTTTGGAGATGTCACACTAGTTTAATTTGTCACTTTAAAAAATTAGGGTTTTTAGGTTTAATTGTCCCTGAATTTGTACCCGATTCAAAAACTGCACCAATCACTAAGTGTGAAGAACAAATACAGAAACTTCAATTGGCACACAGTTCCTGGAGTTGGTTTCAGATTACTTACACTCGAAACTGCATACTTGCTCTTGATTTTGTGCATATATGTATTAAAGGCTAAATTACTTTCCCAGTCTTTATAAGCAAAGATTGGAGCACATAGGAAACCAGTATGAGTGATCAAAAGCCATGTAGCAAATGAGTAGAAAAAGAGGACATCAAGTTATCATATTTAGGCAATGGGGCATGAAATGCCATGTTCTTTCCTAGACCCTGAAGCAGGCCAACCCCTTGATTGGTCTGATCACTTGTTTCTTGATGCATATCCAGAAGATAGAAGACACCCCAAATTTTGGCCTGGAAGCCCAGCTTGCTTTAGGTGCTTGCACCTTTTCCTTTAATGTTGTTGAAATGACAGAAGAAGATTGTCAATAAATCTGAAATTATTGTTCCCAACAAGAATCTTTTTGGCATTTTTATGACTGTAATTAGCTGATTAATGCAACTATATTATGCCTAAAGCAAGAGTACTCAGCTCCTCTGTGTAACTTTCAACCCTTATTTCCCTGAGGCAGGTTTTTACCTTTCCATTGATGAGATATTTTAATGGCTATTAAGCTACCTATTTGTAACTGTGCAGGGATGTTTTGGAAATATGAAGACATTTACGGAGCTCATATCTAAATCCTTGGAAAAATCTTTGAACTGAGATGAATACTGCTTGTTGAATCAGGGCTATCTTAATTTTCTGATAAAGTTATTCATAACAACTTGAAAATTTGTTCCAATTATTGAAAAAACTAAGTAATTATGAAAGCCTCCTTTCTCATATTTAGATTTAGGCATGTACAGATAAATGATATTTCTTATGCATTAATTTCATAATCTGTAGTCTATGATCCAAGCTGATAATGACAAACGGAATTTTCGACGAACTCAGAGAGGGAGAGAGTTTTTGTGGCCATGTTCTATACATCTGAACCCCAAAAGGATAGTCAACCTAAAGGAGGCTTAGTCAGCAAGGAAAGACCAAAGTATTCAAAATTGTGCAGGATTATGCAGATCACACTGGGAATCCTACCAGCGAGGAATAAGAGCCTTCATGAGACAAAATTTTAGAATTCTACCATCTCATTCTTGGTTTTTCATGGTTTGTAGTAACAGACCAGACCAAACTGATATGTCGCATGTAATCTCACTTGTTCTGCAGATAAATTTGTTGCAGTTTCTTTATGCATGAGAAGATCATGCTTCTTGTCAGTGTTTAGAAACTGTATGGTGCATATATACGAACTAGAGTTTGGAACCATGTCTAGTAGTTTCTTTCTTATATACGATACTTCGGGTTTTAATTACAATAGTTTTCTGTAATTTAGATCCAAAGCCACAAAATCTTCATTTATTTTTTCCATCAGATTACCTTAGAACAAAACAAAAAACGTTTGCCAATACATGGACATGATACAATCAAATGCTTCAAGATATTAGTAACCCCCAATTCTTCTTCAGAAAAAAACAACCTTATAGGCATTAAACAAAATGAGATCAACTTTGAAGGTCAAACTTCAACTACAGCAGGCATGTTTCCATCATTTATGCTAATAACAATAAATAATATGAAGAAAAAAAGTCTGAAGTACTTTAAATCAATAAAAAAATAAAAACATGTCCCATAATGTGCAAGGCTGAGAGGTGGTGGGCATGAGGATATCAGATTCACCCTGTGGTTGACAACTTGCCATTAATAATCAAACAGAGAAATGATTCACAAAAGCCATGCATCAACCAATTTTAGGGGAATGCCAAAGCAAATTTCTGACTGAAAATCATGTTGCAATGCTGAACAACTACATTCTCTCAAAATTTGAGATCTTCATTACTTTCTTCATACAAACAGAAGAAAAATAGCAACAACAAAAGAATAAAGATTTTCTTCAGCACAGCTGGAATTCTAATTACTTGAGCATACATAGATGCGTAAGCACAACTTCTCCTACTCTAGAAACAGAACATATTTACATAGAGCATATTATCATAGAGACACAGAAGCAGAATCGAGAGGAGCACTATCTTTGTAACCTTCATGAGCACCGTTCTGAGAAGCCTCACCGCTTCGATTTTGAGTAACAACATTGCTTCCATTTTGAGCACCAACTGGAAGCAATTTCTGGGACTTGGCAGGCTCTTCTTCTCTTGGAATTTCAACTGCTTCTGCAGTCCCAAACAACTGCTTCCTACAAACCTCATGCAAATGCCCAAACAACTCTTTCTTAAGAGCCTCAAATGCCATATCCAACCTCTCCAACTGCTCCATTGCGTTCTTGTTATACATAAACAACCCATAATACAAATCAAAGCTGTCCCCAGATGTATTCTCCACCAAATTCAACAAAGTCTCATACCCTTTTGTATTAATTGGTGAAGACTCCAATTTAAACTTCTCCAACACCCTCCCCATTGTATGGGTCACAAATTGTGACCCTGCTGCATGCTTGTCATGTTCTGCACATGACATTTCAACCATCCTGCAACCTTCCCTACCAAAAATGTCTAAAAATTTCTCACACCTATTGAACCTAAACCCATTATTTCCAATTCTAACCTTGTCATACACAAAAGGAAGATTAACCCATGAGTTTTTACCACTCTGTGGTCCAAACATTGGGTGTGTGCAAAGAATATCAAACTCATCAGGCAAATACTTCAACAACAAATCTCTTGGAAATTCTTTGACTGAAAGAACATCAACAAACAGGGTATTTCTTCTCAGCCTCTGAAAAGGGAACGACTTGATTACCTTTTCAGTGGACAAAATTGAAGTGCAGAGAAGAACAACTTCTGGGTGTTGCTCACAGAGGTCATGTGGGTCTGTGAAGAATGAAACGCCGACGTTTTCTGCAACTTTGGAGTAGTCAGAGCGAGATTGGGCGAGGACTGTGTGGCCTTGTTGGACCAAAGTTTTGGCCAAGAACTGGCCGAAATTGCCGAACCCAATAATGGCGATTTTGAGAGTGTTGGATTTTTGGTAATGGGTTTTGATTCGGGTCTCGTAGTCAAAAGGCTGAGCTGCGTCGATGGCTCGAACTCTGAGGCGTTGGAGATTAAGATGGGTCTGGTTTTTTTGGGGTTTGCGAGTGGAAGAAGGTGTGATAAGAGAGTGAGAGATTGAGTGAGAAGATGGGTAGAGATTTGGAGTGAGAGGAGAAGGTTTGGTTTGTGTGGAAGAGAATGAGAGCATTTTTGTTGTTGTTGTGTTTGTGTTTCGTTTTTTTTGTTAGAGGAGAAGGAGAAGGAGAGAACAGAGAGGCTGGAATGAAATGGAAATGAAAATATTGGAACCTCGATGAAACTGGCTGTTAAAACTTAAACTAGAGAAACGAATTTCTATAAATACAACTGAAATTGGTAGGAACAAAATGTGTGGAAATATATATATATATATATATATATATATTAATACAAGCGATATCATATTGGGTAGACTTGGCAATCTTGTACACAACCCGTTAACATGACACGAATTCACACGAAAATTTCAGTATTCAGGTCCGAGTTATTGTATCGTGTTGATATTGTGTTGAACTGTTAACCACACATTAAGCTAACGTGTCGTGTCGTGTAAATTCGTGAATACCCATTGTTGAACAAAAAAATTCACCAAAAAAAAAATTTGTGGGTTTGGATAAGCCCACAACGTTGTGGGGTACACTACACTTGTTTTCAAAACAATTTTGAAACGACATGTATATCAAATTGTCCATGATCTTATCCCTAGAGAAAAGAAAGGGATAAATAAAGGAAAAAGATAATTTGATGAAGTGGGAGGAGGAATCCAATTTGAACAAGGATTGTTCCATCTCAAAACTCTTTCTTGCAACCACTCTATAAAAGAGAGGAGACAACTGGGAGGCGAGGGAGGGAAAAAAAAACTGAAAATCCACAAAGGTAAAGAAGGACAGTCGTGAGGCTGCAGAGGAAAAAGCAGTCGGATACATGTTGCATCTGCGACAAGGCACCTCTCTTGAAGTCTCCCATGATTGGGTATAAAACCCACAAATCAAATTTTGGGGCGGCATCTCTTGAATCAAAATTTCTTAGATGTTCAATCCATCATTAGGTAATAAGCCCTGAAATCAAAGCATTGAGTTTTGCACCCCGGAAACAAAGCTTGGGTATTTCACCCTGAAAACAAGTTTGGGTACTGCACCCTAGAAATAAAGCTTGGATGTTTCACCCTCAATCAAGGCTTTGGGTTTTACACCCCAAAAAAATCTTGGATGCAAAATCCATCGTGGGTGTGTAACCCTCAATCAAAAACTCTTAATGATATATCCATTTTGGGTATAAAACTCATACACTAAGTTCTCCGGATGACGGATCCATTTTGGGTACAAAACCCACAAACAAAACCATTGGGAGTTTAATCTCACAACAAATAAAAATGGGTTATACCTCTGCCTTTGGAGAATCTGATCAATTCTCTCCCTCTTTGACAAGAACAAAAGCCCACTAATTTCTTTGAGTGTGCTGCTCCGAAACGAAAACAAAAAGAAATCAGCTGTTTGCACATAGACAAAACAAAAAAATAGGGAAGTCAGCAAACGAAAGAAGTTTGGAGGAGAGGCCACGCATAGCCCACGTTTTGCTTGAAGTACTCATCTTGTGTTTGTATGTATACCAACAAAACAAAACAAAAAAGGGCAGCAGAGAAGAGAAAGAAAAGAGGCTAGACAAAACACAGTAACCAAAAACAAAAAGAAAAAAGGGAATGCTCGCAATCTTCTCTCTAACCTTCTCTTTTGGACCTTCTCCCTTTTTAGCTTGACATGTGTCATTCTCCTTACACTTAAAACAATGTCATTAATATATTATACAAGCTAACTTTTGCTTTCCAAGTTTACCCTTATTAATTTTATTCAGTTTATCCAAAAAATATTCACAACTTTCTTACCATATATATTTTTTTTTAATGACAATTTTTTTTATTTAAGAAAATGTCTGCTTTTTTAAAAAAGAGGAAATGTCCTTCTTTTTTTTTAATGTCAAGTTTAGATTTTTATTTTTATTTTAATAAAAAAAGTACATTTCCTCTTTTTTTTAAAGCAAAAATTTTATTTAAAAAAAATAATTGACGTTAAAAAAAATTTAATAAGATGGTAAGAAAGTTGTGAAATTTGTTTGGATAAATTGAATACATTTAATCATGGTAAACTTGGAAAGCAAAAGTAGTTTGTATAATATATTAATGACATTGTTTTAACTGTAAGGAGAATAACACATGTCAAGCCAAAAATAGAAAAGGTCCCAAGAAGAAGGTTAGAGAGAAGGTTGCTAACATTCCTCAAAGAAAAATAGTGGGTTTGCTTGACAAAACAAAAGGCAACTAGAAGAAAATAATAATAAAATAGAAAAGGGGGCTGTGTCGCACAGCCCCTCCCTCTCTTGGATGATTGTGCTTGGTCTACTTTTTGACTAAAAAAATGAGAGATTGGCAATAACTGCTACAGTAACAAAAAGAAAAGAAGAATAGGCAAAGCAAATACTCAATGAGGCTTTGTCTTTGGTTTCTGAAGCAAGAAGACAAATTACTTTCTCCACAAATAAAGAAATCTCAAAGCCTTCAATATGGCTCATGGCAAGGCACAGTCTGTACATACAAAGAGAGAAGACAAAATTCAGCAACATGGAAACAAACAAAAGAGAAAATAAAAGAAAAGGAAGATTATGGACATGTGGGTTACCACGTGAAATCCTAGAGAGGAAGAAACAACTTGTTTCTTTCTTTTGTTATGCAACACAATCAGAGCAAGAAAAAAAATTAAAGGAGGAACTCTTCCTCAACACTTGCAATGAGACATTTGATTTATTAAGTGGGATATTCCAATCGGCTTGAGACAAACAGAAATAAAAAGAATGGATGTGGACGTGGTGGTTCAGCCACCGCGTAAAGCCCCGTTTGGTTCATGGTAATGGGAAATCAATTGATTTTCCATGTTTGGTAAGTTTAGGTATGGGGAAATCGTTGTCTGACTCATGGGAAAGTATGGGGAAAAGTAAAGCCATATTCCCAACTTGGGTTTTGTTTTCTTTCCTCATGGGAAAGTTTGGGAAAATGAGCTAACATTAAATACATATTTTTTATGACCATTTTATCCTCATTAACAATTAGAATTACAATATATCATTAAATGCATTTTTTTTAATTTGATTTAATATGGGTATAATTGAAAATTTATACAAACTTTGTTTTCGCATTCCCATTCATTGGGGAATGACATGGGAAATGATTTCCCCTCAAATTCATTCTATTGTAGGAGACTTTTTCTTCCGGCAACTTTAAACGAGTTGGGCTGTCGTAAACGGCAGATTGATGAAATTGTCCCCTGTGTCTAAGGTCTAAAATCAAGCCCCAAAAATGCTTCGAAATGGCAGTAGAGCTTTAGGAAGCATCTTGGTTACCTTTATCAACTCAAACAACAGCAACTTACAGATGATTTCTTAATGCTTACAGATAAATTTTCTAGCTTGGCATGAGAGGCTTGTGGCATGGAAGCAAAATCAACATGAGTTTAGCACTGAAGAGGAAATTATGATTTCTTGGGGGAAAATGGAGTGTTAAGGTAAGAAAGAAAAGGTTTGCAAGAAGATTTGGCTGAGAAGAGAGAAAGAAAGAACAATGTTCTTCCGGCAGCTTGACAGAAATTCTGTCAGATGTGAAAGTGGTCTGCTAGAAGAGGGAAAATGGGGAAGAATGGTGAATAGTGCGCGAAATTGCTTGGTTTTGCAAGTAAGAGAGGAAGCTTGCTCTCTGGATGTGGGTTGATCCTGTTAGGTAGAAATGCCTCATTTTATAGCCGCTGGAAACCATCTCTTCCCAAGAAACCCACCCTAATGGTTTCTTCCCAACTTGGCCAAGCTTTTCCTTCCTCTCTCCTCTCCTTCCTTGACTTTTTCTATCTTGGTGAAATTTCCTCTATCTATTTGCACAAAATCAGGAATTTTGGGAGCTCAAGGCCTCCTTTCCCGCAGCTGTTCAGTGGGAGGCTCCATTCTTAGCTATTTTTCTTCTTCTTTCCTTCCTCATTCCCTGGCCAGATCTGATGAAGGAAAGCAAAATAGGTGTACATGCTAGTTTGAAGGGTGCTCCTCCTCCTAGCAACTTACGTGCTAATATCCATTGGTTCCTCAAATGTTTTTTTCTTTGAAACTTGCTCCCCCCATGTGCTGGAACCTCCCAGCAGCTTTGTTCAATGAACCTTCATAACTCTTTTTCGTGGCTTTTGTTCTTCCAGCCAGGTGCTGGGGCCTTTGTGGCTCATTTGTGGCAATTGCATGGGCCAAGGTGGTTCATTAAGTAAGTGGGCTATTTTTATTAAATGTTGGGCTCTTTGGTTGAGTCAATAGGCTATTTTAATTGGGTTATTAGGCTATTTTTTCCTCTTATGTGCTCACCCACATGTTTGGGCCTAAGAAATGGGCTTGAGTCCCGAGGCTCCTAAGCAACCCGAGACTTAACATTTCTCGGCCCATTAATGAGCCTCATGTTGATTTATTACCATCCATACCACAACTCACTCAAGCAAGCCCCGAGTATTTAAGTGGCTTGGGGCCCACTTAAGCTTGTGACGTAATGGGGTGCGGAATCATAATTCCTTGCTTGGCGTGGCATGTCGCTTGGCGTGCTTTAATTTTATCATCCTTGAATAGGGACACGGTGCTTAGTTTAGCATGGACTTGTATTTTATAATATTATTTCAATCCTTGGCATGGCAAATTATTTATTTAGCATGGCACGTGGACTATGACTTGTATATAACGAGCCTTCATGCACTCTGATATGTGACTTTTCTTAATACAATATCGTATTGGATCGAGAACTTATTTGGGCCCAACCATGAACTTTTTTGGGCCTCAACATCCATGAACCAATCAGGGCCTAAGGCTTCAAGCCTCTCTTTCTGTCATGTAGGAAGAAACTAAGAAATAAGTGAAGTCTATGATGGGCCCCACACATTCAGAGAAAGGAAACCAAAAGGAAGAAGACTTCTTTCTCTCTTGGCTTGTAGCAAATAAAGTTAAGAAAGAGAAGTTTGTTCTCTTTACTTTATTACAAGAATGAGATAAATTACTTATCACCTGCCTAATTAAAAAATGGGTACAAAATATATAAATATCAGGAGTCTAAGATTTCCCCATAAAACATGACTTCGTTGCACAAGGTCACAGACCATGAACAAG